TGTACAGATGAGTGAAAGCTATCGGCACGCGTTAGGACCTATTTTAGAAGGTGATAATTCCGGTACAACGTCCATGCTCCTTACTGCATGGGTCCCATCCCCATTATACCTGTAATACCCGATTTTACGAATGCATCTGACTATACCTTTTGGAATACCCTAACATGTCTTAATGCGCTGAGATGATCTCGAACTACTCAGAACATATGAATGCAGGTTTTCATTTTTGACATTATTTGAACATTCCGCGCAGTAAGCGCACGTGAAAGCGGCGAATTTATTATGCTTCTTTAGGTCACATGGCCGTTGCCGTTGAATACCAAAAACGGAAGTGGCTTTTGCTTTCAGAACGGGCTTTTACATTTTTTAATCGTTTATGCCTTTGTGACTAGGCACCGTGGCCTGTGATCCTTAAGTGAATGAAACAATAGCTTGCATAGGTCTGGTATCATGCATGCAAGGATATCTTACATGCATAAATCAAATGTATGTTGCAAGGTGGAACGCCACTCGTATATAATTATTTGAATAAAGACATCGAAAATTGGAAGGCCATTCGCGTTGCGACATTATTTGAACCACGAAAAAAGAACCAGCGTTTGCACTCAAGCACGTTGCACCCATGCAGTGCATAGCTACATATGTGTGTGTGTGTATGTGTGTGTAGTATGCATAGTATGCACATCGCAATCAGCATCTGCACACTGCAATCGGTCAATCACTGAATGAAGCCATACCGGTAGAAGAGTTCCCAACAAGCCGTCACCCTTCCACAACGTCACCGTCTCCACCCCTGTGAAGCATCCCTTACCTGACCTCCGCCGCCAAGTGTGCACCAGTCGAGTCCAGGTGCCACTGTCCAGTCCAGTGCTACACAGGCCGGCTTCCACACGTCTGGACACGGCCGGGCCGTATTTATCAGCTTTGTAGCGGGAACTAACAGGATCGGGCTATCTAGTTTTGAAGACCGGCAAAAGGAAGCCGTAGCCATGTCCCCCGCCCGGGGCACGGGAAGCCGTATGCCGGGTCGGCCCGGCCCAGCCCGGCCCGGCCCGGCCGGCCCCGCCGCGTGCTGCGCCGGAAGCCCGGTGGGGAGGGGTTCGTCCGAGCGCCCGCGGGCCGGGGAAGTCCGACAGGCGACGGGCGACGGCGCGCCTCGGAGCGCGTCAGCTGCGGGCCGGCCGCTGAGCCGCCTCGCAGCTCTGGTCGGCTGGGCATGCTCGGCCAGTGTTGCCCGCGCGAGCATCACGCGCCTACATGCACGCCTTTGGGTCGATGGGACTAACTGACCCCATTGGTTATCATTTTTCTTCTTGCAGATGACGATCGCCTCGTTTGACGCTAACATCATCGGATGGTGTACTTCCCCAAGTGATATCTGACCGACGACCGTTTGATGCTTCATAGTTTTGTTGTTATTACTTGGCGTGGGATGCTGAAAACGATCTGAAGAGCTTTGGCCAAGCAACAAATATCTTGTGGGCTAGGTGCTTAGGTAACTACGGCATCTTCTGCTAATTCCTATGACGCCTTCTTCGTGAGAAAGCTTCTCTTTACGCTGGGATAGTTGTGCAAGGTTGTGATAACACGGGCCCAGTGGTAGGTCAGAGTCATCTGAGGTCACTTCATTAGGGTAACGTTTTAGCCCATGGCGCCGAACACCGACTGACGAACGCCGGAAAATAAACTTTCTTTAGGCATGTAAAAATCGTAAAAATGTTGTCAAGAGTTCACTGGAAAGACGTAGTGGGGTAAACATAATGTGTAAGGGCGCGAGCGTAGTGCATCATAACAGCGATTCGCATGAAAGAACGAATTCAGGCACCCGCATAGAGCGCGATGTGATGCGCATGCGCTGTTTTTGTGCGGGCGGCGAGTGCATCTGTGTGGTGTTAGGGAGAACATTTGTTGTCTGGCTCATGCTTTTCAAACTACCCTACTTATTATGTCTAAAGACCGTTGCAAATGCTGCATGCAGTCAGAAACAAAAGCTTTGTGAAATGTACGGCTATGAAGCGTTATAGATGGATCCAGGTGTGATCAACAGGGGTTGAACGAAGAAGCTTTTAGTTCAGATTACCTACGTGCTCATAAAGACGACTGATAATCTGGTTTAAAACGCCGGATTGGATGTTACTTGTTGGATGCCGGATGAAATGACACATTGGTCTTTTATTTTTCCCGGCGGTAGCTGTAGATGTGCCAAAAAGGGGATCAATCTGATTACCAACCGAGATCTGACGCCACAACTTCTGCGCCGATGCGCACAAATTAGTTAAAAGAGCGGAATCCATGCACCTCCTTTATATGATACCTGTCCCCATCCCCGCCACGATTTGTTTTGCGCGTGAAAGTAATGTTGTAAATACTGTTGTTGCGCAGATCACCACAACAAGCACTAGAACAGGTGTAAGAACTTGGCATCGAAGCAATAAGTACAAAGCCATTTTACAGACATCGCCCCTGATCAGATCTAGGCATGACTCTTAAATACCATAGCTGTCCATGTATATGACGCCAGCGGTCAGAAAAGCAGAAGATCGTAGTCATACTGTAAGAGACTTACCTCAAAATTGTCGTCTCATTGTAGCTCCCAATATAATTGTCTGTCTCGTCTTTGTCATTGGAAGCCTCATGCCCTGTCGTTATTACTACAGACATTTGTTAACGTCTACTAGCACGATTACATTGTTTGCAAAGATCAGTCAACCTAGATCATGTTGACAGCTAATTACCCAACATTGACATTTCCAGCACTGCCAAAGCATGACTAATTACCCAACATAGACATTTCCAGCACTGCCAAAGCATGACTAATTACCCAACATAGACATTTCCAGCACTGCCGAAGCACGACTAATTACCCAACATGGATATTTCCACCATTGCCAAAGCATGACTAATCACCCAACATGGACATTTCCAGCACTGCCAAAGCATGACTAATTACCCAACATAGACATTTCCAGCACTGCCAAATCATGACTAATTACCCAACATGGACACTTCCAGCACCGCCAAAGCACGACTAATTACCCAACATAGACATTTCCAGCACTGCCAAAGCATGACTAATTACCCAACATGGACATTTCCGGCACTGCCAAAGCATGACTCAGAACAAAGCACCGGATGGCTGTCCATGCACAACATACATCTAGCCATGATGGGACGATGGGCTAAAGGCGTTAACTTGAGAGCTGTGCCGCCCCGTCCTCTCGCACCACCTCCCAGCAAGCACCACGGTCAGGACAGGCGCGGCCAGGCCGCCAAGGCTTACATTTTCGCTGTTGGAGCAAGGCCCGCCCGGTCCTCTGCCTCGCTTGTAATGGCAGGAGGCATGGGAACCTGCCTCTGTGAATGCGCGGGAGTGCGTGGAGAATGGCTATGCCAAAAAGGGTGTTCGTGAGATGCACACCTTGAACTGCCGGTGGTGTTGTTCTGTTGAGTGTTAACGCTTGATATGGGTATGATTTTTGACCATCGTGCCAAGTTCACTCTCCTACCTAGTTGTGTCAAGCAACAAATGTATGTTTACACCGACGACATGGAATATTAGCCCACTATCCTTCAAATGGTCGGGCTTCTAAACGACATCGATGATTTGAAGGCAGCCTCTCCATCAAAGGCACGGTCTAAAGACACGCCCAAGGCCTTCTCATGGAGTTACAACGCTCGGAACTTTTGCTTTGTTTCTGGTACATTTTCTACTAGTGAACGGATCACATTACGAGTCCACGTTTCCGATTCGGGATGTTCCCCTTAGGAAGGCGCAAATCTACCAGAGAGAGGACTGTCGGAGTTCTGCTTTACCGTTATGCAGACTCGGGGAGCTCATGCTTTTTTAGCAGTTGAAAGCCATCTAGAAACGCTATTTACATGCATGCAAACACCTATCTGATCTAACACATGCCACCAGGCAACATGTTTGAGGCGTTTTCAGTCATCGGAAATCATCGCTATGCCTCGACCTGGACGCTGCGATCAGCAACATTGAACATAGTGCGGCAGCATCCGGTTCCGCCTGAGGCAGTCTAGCCTGCCTCAGATTTTCTAGACCCAACAAGATGGGAAACCCACACCTGACGCGATTCCCATGCCGCATTCTTCATTGCGCATCACGTTCTGCGAGATGCCTGCTTGCCTTGCCTGTGGATGTCATCAGCACGTCTTCCCTTTGTTCCTATTGCGCGAGGTCGGGTCATTCAAATGCCTCCGCTACCGTCCATCCACCTTTTCGTTTTCTATTGAAATTACGTTAGCTATCCTCCTTGTCGTCTTCCACGCATGCAGTCGCTGGACAGGAAGTTCAGTACTGTCTGCTTACAAAATATGGTGGTGCTTAGCTATAAAAGCAAAATGTTCTCACTGATATGAACAGTTTACTCTCGATCTGAGCATAATTCAGATGCTGTGAATGCACCGTGATCCACAGCTTGGTGCATTTCCTCACCCAATCCCAGCTTTAAGTCTAAATATGAACGCAGGTGCCACAGGCCACATAACACGGCCACAAAATTAAACAGCGCGCGTCGTGTGTAACCACAGAGCCAAACCCAACTGGAATCTAGGCTCGAACACCTCAGATTATGTGTGAGCAGATCAATCCGCGCCAGCTCCTTCTATGCACCGCACCGTGCATAGAGTATCAAACCTGCAGGGAATCGAATAGCTCATTTATATCGCTCTTTTTCTGCATCCAAGGTGGAACGTGGAACCGCAAACGGTGACGCCAACGAAGAAATGTTTGGTTTGTCGCCATGACCCCGCCCTCCCCTACATGTAGCATTTTGACATGTAACACCTCGCCGGTGAAGGCTCTCGTAGTTCCTACAGTGTTCAGTTCCACCATGCTCACTTCCATACGCATGCACGTAGGTAAAGATTTCCCGTGCCATCGGCTTATGGGACTTCACGTGAACGATGACGCCATGAGACCAGCTGATTGAAGCCGTACATGAAGGGTGAAAAGTCAGCTTCCGCTGAACATTCCAGGCCCCTCACGCCGCCAGCACGCGCAGCGGGAAGATGGGTCGCATTCCCCACGCTTCGGAGCCGTTCTCCGGTGTACACGCCGGCTGGGGAACCCGCCGACGCAGGATTATGTCGCCGCCAACGGATGTGACTGGATCACGGCGCCTAGCTGGTGTCGCCACGACTGCCCGCGGTTTGTTAGCGCCGTATTGCGAGCATGGGGTTTTCTAGGTTGAAATTTCTTATGTTGAGTTATCAACCTTCAGTATGCCAGAAGGTAATGGTTAGACTACGTTGTAACGCCAAATAACGATTTTATTTACAGTTTTCAATATTTCGACTGTATTCATCATTGAGAGTGACAGGGACTCAGGAAAACTTGGCAAGATATTACAACGAAAAATAAAGACTCGCGAATCCAGAAAATCTACGAAATCCCAATTTGCGCACACTCACTAAAGGATGTTAACCGGATGAATAATCCAAGTTCCCAGCACGCCACATACCGTTCAACATAAGGCTGCAGAAAAAAACACAAGCAGCCGAGTCGTAAGTTTGCAATATCCGACACAGAGTATCACGCAAGAACATTTCTTGCCGTTTATCAGCCACCATAAAAATGGCCTGAACCTCAGGCATTTACATAACCCTGAAGTGTTGTTTAAATCAGGCCAGCGGTGAGCTTGTACATTCAGCCTTGGGCGCACAGCTTTCAATGGCCAACAAATTCCTGCTGAGCTGTGTTGTTTTTCCAGCATTTAACGTTGAACTGAATGCGGAGCGTTGAGAGCTTGGATGCTTTCTGAATTTGGGGGCATCTTTTACGGGTAGTGTCTGCGTACATTGGGAGCGTTTTCTGGACCCAAGTGTCTTACCCTTCAAGTGTAAAATTTTGGTGAACCTTTCTGAGCCCTTGCCACTCTTGAGGGTGAGCGCAGATCGAAATGCTGAGTACTGCCAGTATAATCGATATCTAGCATTACAGCGTCGTTTAACCAGTACCTCTTGTATTAAAGTGGTGTTCTGACAAACGTTAACTTAACACAACTTTCAGCTCATAATGCTGAAAATTGGTACCTGAAGGCCCTTTTTCGGGTATGAGGTTTTCATCAGTCGGGCATGCTCTGCAAGTTTTCGAGAGTAGGCTGCTCAGCCTACTCCGCTCCTGGCTGCTGTCGCGACGCTTCTCTTGGGATCTCAGATATCACTTCCAGGAACATGATTTGCCATCTCCAGTCCGCGGCATCCTCTGCAAACCAACTATCGTGGGTGTTCGCCCAAAACCCTCCCAGTTCCCTCCCCAGTCAGCGCATTTCACAAGCGTCGCAAAAGACCCTTCTCCGAAACGGAAAGCCTCGTTTCCTTCTGGGTGAGGAAGCACGGCCCACGGAGCGGTGCAGCTGTCCATGCGCAGACGCTCAGGTGGTCTGGCTTCCCAGGGAAAATCGATCGATCATATGTAATGCGACATCGGGCGCAATTCATTGTGCGGGCAACCGAGGGCGGCTAATTCTCCCGGCTGCGAGAAGTCCCTCGCAACCCCCCGCCCCCTTCCCTCCCTCCCGGTTGTTGCCATCGTGCCAGGCTCTGAAAATTGTCTAAGTACCGCTTTTAACATTTATGTTAAAAAACGGGGCGGAAAGTCTCCTTAGTCCGTTCGTTCCAGGCACTTGGGCGGGCTCAGTGTCCGTCCGGACAGACTGGACCGCAGACCGTTGCCACTGAAACGCGGACGCATTCCCGACACGTCCGCCACGTGCCTGCCTCGAGACCCGGCACGTGCCCGTGCGGTGGCCCCGACAGCAGAGCACGCGAACGGCCCATCCCCTACCGGCGCTGCTCGTATCACCCCCCGCCTCTCGCCGTCCCCTTCAAAACCTCCCCACGGCGTCCGGCAACCACCAGCGTGAATCCCCGTCGTCGAGGCACGCGCCGAAGCAGAAGCGAGAGACGATGACTGATATATTTACACAGTACGTATAACCACTGACACCGTACGAGACAGGATATCACATCACTCGACCCATCTACACCGTGACTCTACCAGACGTCCGCTGGACAGCGGAGCCATCCACGCGATTGGAATGAGGCGGAGGCAGATATAGAGTAAAACGCGCGTCAGCCAGTAGATCCTCACCGTTGGCGGGGACCTCACTGGAACCGGGCTCTTCGGCAGCCTACCTGACTCTAGAGCTGCGGCTCGGGGGAGGGCTACTTCGCAGGCGTATACAGTGTTCGCGACCACATTCAGGCAAACTTGTTAACAACTAGCCAACAATCAGGTATGTATGTAGACATGCACAGGGCATTAGCCAGATCGCGACTCCAAATAAGTAAGCAGCTGACTTCCAAAGCCCTTTATACCGAACGACCGAGTTGCCATGCAGAGTAATTGCCCGTTTACATACAGTTCAGTGGTAATTACGCGTACACACAATTTTGCGCGGAAAGCAGTTCAGCGTCAGCCAGAGGGCGGGCGAGCCTTGCCGGCCTCTCCGCTCGGCCCCGCCCCAGTCCTGTGAACCACACAGACAGCGCGACGGTACGCTGCGAGCGCAGGCCGGCGGCTGCCCTGTCCAGCTGTTGGTGCCTGGTGGGTGTCCATAGGTCACCTCGGCGTCCAGGTGGCCCGCGACCGGGCAGCAGCGGCTCCCGGCCTCTCCATGCCGCGGAAACAGCGAGATGTCTAGAGAATATACGAGCTAGGGGCATGCCTACGGGTGCCACAGAGAGAAGGGAGCACGGACGCATCGGTTCACTGCATACAAGACGCACACGTGGGGCGCGCCGCCGCCGCCGCAGGCTGCTGCCGGGGCGGCCTGCCGGCGCTGCCGACTCACCGCTCGCTATACCACACCGACTACACGGTCCGACGGACCTCTCTCTCTCTCTCACACACACACGGGTGCGCCGTCTAGCCGCTGATAAGGATACCCTGCGGCCCGCGGGCGGTTCATGCACCCCCCGCGGGCGTACCACGCGCACCATCACACCCGTCCTGCCTCCGGCCGCCCCCACACTCGGTCATGGTGGCCAGCCATCTGCATACGTGCACCGTCCAGCTAAAAACGAAGGCCCCGAACGGAGCACTGTCCAACTAGGGAAGCATGCGGCATGGTGGTCAAGCTAGTGAATGGCGTCTGTCCCATTTGATTCGACTTCGCCGGGGGACAGACGGATCGACGTATCGCTGCATTCGTGGAAAGTCAATGCGAGGCTGAAAATGGATGTCGCTCTGTCCGTAAATTATGACGAATCAATACAAATGGCGCCTACGGTTAGCATAAACTCAGCGTTGCGCTTCGGTGGAGGCCGGGGGAAGCGAAAGCAACCAATCGTCGGCGGGGTGGCGCCTCCACCCTCCGCCAGAGGGCGCTGGCCGGCTATAGCACCGTGCTGGGACTGCCGCCGCTGCGCTCCAGCTCGCCGGCCGGCGTGGCGCGCGCCGAGGCGGAGCGAGCCGCCAGCGGCAGGCCGGCGCCCACCACCGGCGACGGCGTGTAGGAGCGCGAGCGCGCCGACACCGGCTCGAACGGGTCACGACGGCCGGCTGCCGGCCGCTCGAACTCCATCGTCGACGACTGCGTCAGACAGCCGGAGTCCCGGCCGCCGGACGCCGCGAACGGGTCGCTGGCGCCGAACGGGTCGGCGCCCGAGAACGGGTCGGCGCCGGCGAACGGGTCGGCGCCGGCGCCGTCGAACAGGTCGGCGCCCGGGTCGGCGGCGCCGAACGGGTCGGCGCCGGCGAACGGGTCGTGCGCGGAGAACGGGTCAGAGATGGCGAAAGTCGGCGGCGGCGGCGCGGGCGACGTTGGCGCCGACCAGGCGTCGCCGGAGCCGCTGGTGAACTGCAACACGAGGCGCGGCACTCAGCGTCGGCGGCGGACCAGGCGGCTGACACCCCAGACACCGAACGGGCTCCGGTGGCGCGGTACCACCGCAGGGGGCGTCGCTCAGGCGAGCCCTGCATCCGGGCCACGCTGACAGCGACGGCTCGTCGGCCACTGTGACTAAACGGCAGGTCACTGGACGGGAACACACGTCACGAGCTGGTCACGGATGTCGAATTGACAGAGGCCACCGACAAGGTCACGCCCGACCACTGCTCATCGCTCCCGCATTGTTGCCGCCGGCACACAAGTGCTGGTCGAGGTGTCACACAAAAAGGTACACTTCTTTACAAAACACAGTGTGTTTTGCGTCACGACTCCCACACGAAAGTGATGTAGCCTCCGTCCTAGCGAACTTCCCCATCATGCATTCACCAACGACGAACGAGTTGCACGGCAAACAGTGCAGGCGACACGTGTTTGTAGGTAAAGCACATGCATATTGGTGCTGCAAACAGCACCCAGTGCAAAACATAAAGGCTACGATCAGCACAAAACCATTCCAAAAACAGCACTAACGATCTATGACGCGTTAGGAACTGAGCGGGGGACATCGCAGCGTGGGAACGCGACGTGCGGAGCGCCGGTCCTGGCAGTGCGCCGCGCGGCGCGCCACACGCGGCGCCACGCGTACGGGCTCGATTAGCGGCGCCAGTACACGCTGTGGTGCACTGACTGAGGCCGGCCCTCTAACCTCTACAAGCGATGAGTCACTACTCTTTACGAACTACCACTCCGCACAACACACGCAGCGTGCGTTGCCGCATGCTGCACGTGGGCTCAGTGAGAACGGCGGTGATTGGCGTGGCGCGCTCGGCGGTGACGAGAGCGACTCGCTTGGGGCGGGGGCGAGGTCATAGCCAGGGCACACGTGACCGCGCCGCCGCGCCGCCAGCCCGTCTGCTCCGCTGGTCACAACCAAACGTGCCGCCGCTGCAACCATGCACCGTGTACGTCGGGAGAAGGTGCGAGAAAGGGACTGGGCTCAAACGGCGGGAGACCGGCATGGCTCAGATAGCGGAAGACCGGCATGGCTCAGACAGAGGAACACCGGCATGGCTCAGACAGCGGAAGACCGGCATGGCTCAGACAGCGGAACGCCGGCATGGCTCAGGCGGCGGGAGACCGGCATGGCTCAGACAGCGGAAGACCGGCATGGCTCAGACAGCGGAACGCCGGCATGGCTCAGGCGGCGGGAGACCGGCATGGCTCAGACGGCAAAGAGGCCGACAGGATTAAAACAACGGGACCAGCAGGATTGATACAGTTGGAGACAGGCAGGGTTCAGGCGGCAAGAGATGGCCAGAATTTAGACGACGGGAGACCGGCAGGTGAGGAGAAATAATAGCGAATGGAAAGAGGGAGTGAGAGGAAAGATCAAACAAAAGGAAGATGAAGTTAGCCAAGAGACCGTGACAAAGAGCGGAAAAGAAAGGAGGGCGAACGGAGGGGACTGTTGTGTACAGCGTGAGCAAAAACTAGCGCAGATCTTCACGACACTCAAACGGCGGGTTAAAGCGAAGTACAATACCTGGAGCGACAGCTAGTCGCGTCCAAGGTGTGAGTAGCACGTCACTGGAAGGCAACACGGCTGTTAATGGGATCAGGCAGACGCAACAAACGCACCAACCACCTCTTCCACCACCACTACCGTACGCAGGCACTCGGTTTGCGCCGAACGGGTTAGTCTAGACTGGCTGCAGGGACACGTCTGGGTTAGTCCAGACTGGCTGGAGAGGGACACGTCAAGTGGGCCGCCGTCATCTCCACGCCCTGCTACAGGCAGGGGCGCCACTCCAGGGGCGCCAGTCCACGGCCGCAGGCATGGCTGGCTCCGCGCCCTGTTCAGCGGGGGATGGGAGTGGGGGAGGGGGGGGGGGGCGACATAAGCACAGCACTCACGTGCAGGCGGCCCGGGCGCCAGCTCGTGACTATTTACTGGGCATACCCGACGCCAGACGGGTGATGGAGATTCCACAAACGGATCCGGCTAATCTCGTCAGAGATTCTTGCGACATCCAGAGTCCAGCACTTTCCCTGAGCGGACGTCAGATTCGGGAAGATGTCTTCTCGGGGCTGTGTCGGCGCCCCGGGTGGCGGGGAGTCCAGTCCAGCCCAGCTCGGCCCCACCGCGCTCAGCGCCCCACCACCACCACCACCACCACCTCTTCCTCACACCAAACCCCGCGCACCTGGTCGAAGTTGGCGAAGTCGGCGAACCCTCCGGCGGCCACGGCCGGTTCCGGTTTGGCCGCGAACGTGGGCGGCGGCGGCCGGGCCGGCACACTCTTGGGCGGCGCCGGGCGCGGCGGAGGCACCTGGTGGGCAACATACAAAATTGAGTCACGAATTGGCGCCGCCAGCTGGCGCGCGCAACGCCAATGTCGGCAGGGTGCGGAGGAGCGCGAACCCACCGCATGGCCGTCCAACAAACGAGTGTAAATCGCGTGGCGCATCACGAAGCGGCCCCAATGCGTAATGAGGACGAATGAGCAGGCAGTGCATCTGGCGACTAGATCAAAACATGATCAACGAATGATATCAGCAGGCAGCCGCCCCCAAACCATTAAATGCGGTTAAATCGGGAACACATCTTGTGTGGCCAAGAAAGCTGAACGCGATAACATACGTAACAGTCGTAACGCAGATGATGAAAAACTACGCTAGAGCCAGAAGGCAGACACTTTCGGACACCAGCGACTTTCATCAATGCTCTAAAAAACCTTTCTCGAGAATTTCACGATTCAGAGTCCACTGACTTGAACTTCACGCGCCAATTCACGGCTTAGTTGCTTGAGAAGTGGTTGGCTATGAATTCAGCCAGGCTGGGCGATTTTCGTTGCCATACTCAAGGAATCGCATTGACCTACGGGCTTTACATTCGAGACCTCCGTTCTACTGCCCGGGTACTGCGAAAAGCGTTATGCTTTGGCAGACGCTGATTAGATCAACCCCAAAAATCAATGCACCACCATACCGGCTGCATGGTCCGTTCAATCTCGGTTCAGACAACATCTGGCACCGGAGATTGGTTTCGGAGGAGATAGCACTGCCTGGTTTCCGGTCCACATTTGGCGATAAGTTGCAGCTATACAGATTCGCCCGCACCGTGCTGCTAGTTCCACGCGAGCATGTGCTCTGGTGCCTTCGATTTGACACCAGCCCTAAACTAACCGGTTTCGCACTAACCGGCAAAAAGTCTAGTGCTGCTAGTTATTTTCAGGTCTAAGCACGCTGTAATTACGTTTCGTTAGGTAAAACCCGTAGTTCAAAGGATGAACTGCCTGCTAGGTCACGCAATCATCATTATGCTGGTTGCTAAGCAGCTTTCGCTGTTTGTTTAGAAGGCATGTGGTTTTCGCTCTCTGGCCGGAACGCCTGGCGATAACGTCACAGGAGCAATATTTCACAGCATTTCCACATGAACGCCAGACACACGCCTGGTCGGCACATTCCTCTCCTATCCGCAGGGCGCCCCGTCCCCGTCCCCGGCACACGTCAGCGTCTCGCCGGACGCGGCGTCGACCTACCTTGGCGGCCGTCTTCGGGGGCAGCTCGGGCGTGACGGAGGCGGGTCGTGGCGGCGCCGCAGCGGCGAACGGCTGCGCGCCGAACGGGTCGGCGCCGGCCGGCGTCGGCTCGGCCGCCGCCGCCGCCGACGCCGGCGCCGCGTCCCACGCGCCGAACGGGTCGGCGCCCCAGGCCGAGCGGCCGCCCCCGCCCGACGACGGCCGAAACGGGTCGTTGAAGCCGTTGGCATGGAAGGTGGGCGCGGCCGGGCGCGGCGGCGGCTGTCGCACACGGAGCGAAGCCACACTCAGGACGGAGCTACCCGGGATGGCGCGGTGCGGTTCGCCTCTGAGACTTCCCACCGCGAGTCATCACTCAGCTGCATCGTTCTGGGTACGCCCATGTCACTTAATAAACTGCCAACGACGTCACTTGTAGGCTGTGACATGAGTTGTGACTTAACATATATGTATATGACGCTGTGGTAATAGCAAAGCAAACAAAAACATACCTGGCCAGCGCACGTCGCAGATATTTTGACAATCTCCGTCAGAACTTCAGCCTAAACCTACCGGCAAAACAAACCACAGGTGGCAAGGTGCAGGGTCGCCGCCTGGCCGCCGGCGGTGACGCTCACCTGGGAGCGCTGCTCCGGCTCCGGCTCCGGCTCCGGCGCGGGCGCCGGCTCCGGCTCCGGGCTGAGCATGCTGCGGATCTCAGTGAACTGCGGGTCGGCGAACGACGTGTCGGCCGGTTGCAGCGCCGAGTCGGGCACGGCCGCGGCGTCGCCGCCCTCCAGCGCCGCGTCCAGTTGGCCCAGCGCCTCCGACATCTGGCGCTGGCTTTCCTCAAGCTGCGTCACCTTCGACTTGGCCTGGGCACGGGCACAGCGGCACGGCAGGGCCGTCACCAAAGCGTAGCCACTTGTGACATCGTCACATCACTAACCGATACTAGCGCTCTGCTTGTCCCGGATGTAGGCAACAGTGGCACGAAGCTGCAAGTCAGCTACGACACCAGGCTGTTTGGGATACAGGAGCAGAGCCTAGCACAGGTGAGGTCTCATCCCCGACACTCTCCGACGGGTCTGGTCCTGCCCACGAGCGCACAGTCTCTCCACCACCGGGCGCTGGCAGCCCCGGCGGCGCCCCCGGCTGCGCGTTCAGTGGCCAGACCGCCCCTCGCTCCGATCCGGCGGCCCGACGCCGGCACGCCGTCAGCTGACCCGACGGCCCGACGCCGGCACGCCGTCAGCTGACCCGACGGCCCGACGCCGGCACGCCGTCAGCTGACCCGACGGCCCGACGCCGGCACGCAGTCAGCCGACTCGGCGGCCCGACGCCAGCACGGCAGTCAGGCCGACGCCGGCACGCAGGTCACAGTCAGCGACCCGGCGGCCCGACGCCGGCACGGCAGTCAGCCGACGCCGGCGGCCCGACGCCCGGCACGCAGTTCAGCCGACCCGGCGGCCCGACGCCGGCAACGCAGTCCAGCTGACCCGGCGGCCCGACACCGGCACGCCGTCAGCCGACGCCGACGGCCCCGACGCCGGCACGCAGTAAGCTTGACCCGGCGGCCCGACGCCAAACGACGCTCAGCCGACGCCGGCGTTGGCTTCCTATCACAAGAGTACCTGCGTGAGGCCGGGCCCAACACGGCCACGCCCGTCCCGTGCCGTGACCCTCTGAACTGCGCTACGGCTAGCTCGCGGCCGCCGGGACCGCGCGCCGCGCTGATCCCCGCCGATTCTCCAGCCGTGCCTGGGGCCGGTACCTGGCTGATCTGGAGGGCCGCGTCCTCGAGCGTGCGGGCGATGCGCTCCTGGCGGCTGCTGTTCTCCTGCACCTGCCGCTCCAGCGACAGCTCCTCGTCGCGCAGCTCGCTCAGCTCGCGCCGCTTGTCGCCCAGCTCCTGCTCCTGCGCCACCAGCGACTCCTCCTGCTCCTTCACCTGCGCCTGCAGTCGGTCCACCTGCAGCCGGCGGAGACACGGCACGGCGCGCGTTACGTGCTGCGTCCGCGTCCCCGCTGTGAGCTCAGCTCGACTCGCCGTGGCCGCAGCAGCTGTCGGCCACGGCGCTCCTCACCACTTGGATGCCTGGCTGACGTAGAAGGATGACAAAGCGTGTTTGGGAGCATTGTTTCGTCACGTATTCTGCTCCCGCCGACCTTCTCATTTTCCCTTGACGAACCAATCACACCTCGAAGGAGAGGCGGCCGTAAGGAATTTCATGGTTGTTTTTGTCACAAAGTACATAACCTGATAAATGCTACGGAACTGCGGACGGCAAAAATGCAGGAAGTTTGGATGGTGGTCAGCTGTCTTCGTGAACGCAACTGATCAAGAAAGCCCATTATGAAGCCAATTATGAAGCCAGGTAAAACGCCCAGTTCCGTAACAAGTAAGGTGCCAACGTTGGCAGCTTGCGCAGACTAGCGGCCCAGTGTGCATGCATACCTTTGCAACGGGTTATGAGAGTGGACCCGGGCTGCCACGGGTTACGAGAGTGAACCCCGGCCGCCACGGGTTATGGGAGTGGACCCCGGCTGCTACGGGTTATGAGAGTGGACCCGGGCTGCCACGGGTTATGAGAGTGGACCCGGGCTGCCACGGGTTACGAGAGTGGACCCGGGTTGCCACGGGTTACGAGAGTGAACACCGGCTGCTACGGGTTATGAGAGTGGACCCGGGCTGCCACGGGTTATGAGTGGACCCGGGCTGCTACGGGTTATGAGAGTGGACCCGGGCTGCCACGGGTTATGGGAGTGGACCCCGGCTGCTACGGGTTATGAGAGTGGACCCGGGCTGCCACGGGTTATGGGAGTGGACCCCGGCTGCTACGGGTTATGAGAGTGGACCCGGGCTGCTACGGGTTATGGGAGTGGACCCGGGCTGCCACGGGTTATGGGGGTGGACCCGGGCTGCTTCGGCCGGGCGCGAGTGCGGGGCGCTAACCTCAGCACTGCACCAGGTGACCCGTGGCAACTGCGCGCGCACCGCATGACTAGGCCCCATTCAACGTCCGCCAAATCAAGCAGATGCGCCAGAAGAAGCAAATGCTGAAGGAATGTACCCACCGGAAACGTCTGATCAACGTGTGAATTGAAGGGGTCCGGCCAGTCAGTTCCCAGCATATCAGCACACAGCCTGCAGCGCTCTACTCAAGGAGTCGTGCAATGAAAATGCCAGACATTGCATAATGTTGCATGCATGCATGGCACATGGGGAAGTCGGTGCAGCACCATCACATTCGATGGGAAAAAGGCAGTTACATCACAGGATGAAGCGATGACCTCTGCCTGGCTCAGCACTCTTCTCTTGCCACGTGCACAAGAAGACCGCGGCATTCCCGTGCCGTCTAAACTGAGATACCTTCATTACACTGCGCACGAAACTTGGCCAACTTTCAAGTCGTGGCACTTTGTTAAGCTGAACTTACCGCTGAATATTTAAGGCTTTCGCGATAATTTGATTACAACGTCCTTGCAATATTACCCGTTGCAGCGCATCTGACAGCTAACGAAAACCATGCGCCAAGATCCACTTTAACTTAATGCATCATCAGCATTTTCGCACGCATCACATGATGAACAGCAGGTACGAGCACCGCTTTCACCAGACTTTTCGTGTGTAACTACACATTTTACCGCGCGCTCGGAAGTAAAAGCCGACGTTCAGCATGTCGTGATTCGGCAAAGCAGCCGAGCTGCGTCGTCTCACACCACTCTTGTGCCGCGGATTGGACGAGCAGAACAGCCAGAGCAGCATACGACACGGTACAGAGCTCGAGTGCGGACGCGACTCGGATCCGGCCCCGCGGGCGGTCAACCCTCTGGTCAAGCGCCTGACTGCGCTAACTCACTCGGCACATTTTCAAACAGTGCGAACCGGCCGTACACCTTGCGTACGCCCGCCGCCCTCTGGACGCAGCCCGTTTGAGTCAGCGACGGAAGCAGGAGCGAATGAGCAGCAAAACACTGGAAGCGGCCCATTCCTGCGCCCGTGAGCAGCGAGCGCCGACCACCGAAGCCGCACGCGCGGCGCCCGCCTGGCGCCGATCGCCGGCGGCGCGCGCGCGCGCCCCGCATGTCAGCCCGGCCCGCCACCGCAGGGCACTCACCTTCTGCTGCTCGCGCGCCACCTCGTCTTTGGCGGCCAGCAGGTCGCGTTCCAGACCCTTGGTCTGTGCGGCACAACACGGGTCAGGTCACGAGAGGCGGCCAGCCGGCCGGCGGCCCCCAGGGCGGGGCGGGGCGCGGCACCCCACACGCCAGCATGTGCGCGCCCGGCCGGCCGACCAACAGGCCAAGCAACAGCGCAGCCGGCCGCTACCGGGCTCGGCCAGCACACCAACCAAGCGAGCAGGTGTCCTCGCCCAGCCGGCCTCTCCACTACGGCTCGGTCTGACGTCACTCACAAGCGGCCATCCGTCTGGAGGAACGGCCGGTGGAGCCTGACGACGAGATAGCTTCCATGCCACATTGGACTGCGTTCTCCGTTTACGGATGGGTGAATACTAAATGTCTGCCCTTATTATCCATGGCAAAATCCAACCGTTGTGAAGAGGCCGTCTGGTGAAACATAACCTTACAATACATACCAAACTGAAGGCAATCATTAAACGAAAGCAAATCCTGCTCTATAAAAAATAGTCCGTCAATGCACTACACATCCTTAAATGAAAGTGGCGACGTAAAATAACGGTGTCGTGTCCAAACGAGTTTCATATGCGGCACCTATAGCTCTAGTCAACAGCTCTAGTACAGGTTATTACATTTCCAGCCCACGTGGGTGTGAACACTGCACCGCACTAACACAGACCATCCACAGAGCATGCGCCTGCCACCCCGGAGGGCCCGCCTAGATCTCGCCGGTTGCCACCTGGTGTTGAAGCCAGCAGCCAAATGGTCAACGAGGGGAAAGCCATAAAGATTCTGACGATGACACTACGGGACAGCAGCCAAATGGTCAACGAGGGGAAAGCCATAAAGATCCTAACGATGACACTACGGGACATCTGTTTACCAAACGTATTCGTGCAAGGAGATTGCAAAGCACGCAAGTTGGAATTGACAATGAAACCAGTCTATTTCCCAGAGACGAATTTCGAAAGGTTAGCGCGTTAACGAATGGGCTATGACATAAGTTACAGAAAGGCGAAGAAGACAACTCATTGCAGCAGAGCACCGCAAAAATTAAAGCTCGATCGAGTGCTGTCAACAGTGGCCCTGCCGTTATTCATGTCAGGCACACAGCACAGCAGATTTCACCCAAACTACCCCTGAGCAGGCCTGTTTGGCACCCGCCAGTCCTGTGCAGCTGTCCGCTATTTACACCATGCATGGTAGATACACTGCATGCTGGGGGGAGGGAGGGAGAGGGACAGCACCTGGCTGGCGAGGTCGTCCAGCTTGCCGGCGGCGGCGCCCTTCTGGCCCTCCAGCTGCTTCAGTGTGGCCGCCAGCGTCTCCAGCTCCCTCTGCAACGTCCCGGGACGGTGACCACGACTGGTCCAAGCAGCGACTCGCCCTCGGTGCCGCCACGATCGGCGCTCCGGCGTCTGCGCTCCACTGGCATCGATAGTAATCGACCAGCCGACTCCCCGTGATGATGATAACGCTGCTTTGGGCTTAACGGCACGCCCACTAACCCTGGTCATATGGCGCCCATGTCGGCTCCTGTGTATCTGTGTACACACCACAGGAAGAATTGCAACTGGTGGAAATCTAGCCACTGTCCGGGCGCCTCAGCCCACAACATTCGTCCGGACTTCTGTCGCACGGCCGGATTAAATCTGCTCACAACAATGTCAGGAGGTAAACGGCCATCACATTTGCCAGAGATAAAAAATGGTTTACAAGGTCAACAAACCGCCTGACGTTATGCTGTAAGCCAGGAAAACCACATGCTTTAACACGCACCCCGGTGGCCGGTTGTATACCCTTCGGTCGGGTGGGGCGGGAAAGTCAAGTTGACCCCGCACTGAGATCTCAAAAAAGCTAAGGGAGCTAGAGGCACCAAAGTCACAAGGTGCGTTGGCCTCAATGTGAAAACACTTGTGTCGAAATTTGAGGCTCCTATGCCATGACCCTCGGGTCGAGTGTCAGACGGGATCAAACGTCAGATTGGTGTCCAAAAAGCCAAGCCTCATGAAACCACCTTGTACCTGTCTGTCTGTCTGTCTGTCTGTCTGTCTGTCTGTCTGTCTGTCTATCTACATATATATATATATATATATATATATATATATATATATATATATATATACATATATATTTATATATATACCCGTTCTAAGCAAAATCCCTTTGCTTTTCTTTTCAAGTCGGTGACCCTTTTCAATTTTAAAACGTCATGGTAACCACAATCCTATCAATTGGTTTCAATTTGATATTTGAATAAGCGCCAAGGATTACGATAGTTTGTACGGTTACGGTTGTGCTGATAAGGCGTGGCTACGCCGCTGCGTTCAAAAACCATTTTGGAAAAACCGTCGGGGAGGGTTATAATCCCCATCTGAGGGCGTATAAAACATTCGTTTCTTGAAATGCCCTCACAAATCACTTAAACAATATATAGAGTCATAGTGTGAGCAGCTTTAGAATTAAACAAAGATGTCCGAAACGTTCAAATGAAAGGATGACAGAATTATGAGTGAAATGATGAAATGATGACAGCTGCAAATGAAAGATGTTCGAAGCCGTGTTCGCATCGCAGATGTCTGTATGTCAAAATCTGTGATCGTTGATGCGCATCACGCTGACGCTCCAAAATGCCCCTGATGGGACGTCCAAATATCCATACACGGCAATGCTCCAATAAGCAAAAATTCGCGCCGCAGAAATTCGTCAACGTGTAGGTTTGTAGCGCAGACGGCCGTACACGCAATAGTCATATCCGTTAATGTTGGCGGCGCAGACGTCCATGGCCGATCATGTTCGAACTGCAGATGCTCATGTAGCATGTTCGTGGCCGCAATTGTCCGTAAGGTAAGCGCCTCAAAACGACACTTGAACGTGACGTGGACAGCGGTGAGACACAGTCGTGGGATCTGTCTCCTCGGAGCATGGGACAGTTTTTGCATCAAACGTCTGGTGTTTCGTCTGCGCAGGCCACCATAGCATCCGTGCGTCCTCAGGGTCCTGACCCCTCCCCTCCCCGTCACCCCGCGATTTCTGGTCGTGGCTCGGTGTGCAAAAGCTCGGTGTATAACCGGCACACACTGCGGGTACCGAAGCAGCCGAACGTCATGTGTGATCTGGTCCAGTTTAGGTAACGGTACCGGCGGCATCGGTACCACATAACCTCTACCCGTCCCAAACATCTGAAAATTGCATCGCGGAGCTGCAGTGAAAGCTTTTCATAAAGTAGAACGTGACAAGACATTGTGGCATTGTCTCTTGCGTTCATAGCCGCTTCCGCTGACGTGTTTTGTGTGATCCCCAGGACCCTGCTATTCTCTGTCGGTCTCACGAGCATCTGTCATAACAACAATACCCCACGAACATCTGTTATGAGAACATCTCCATTAAGAAGCCGAGCGCTGACGATCAAGTGCAAGGACGAACATCTACGGTTACGAACATTTGCGACACGGACATCAGTGTATGCGAACATTAGAGCTCAACAGGACTTGTGTTCGAATGTTCGCTTACAAACCTCTGCGATGAGAGCATCTGATGATGATTGGGTCTTAAGGGCGCGCTGACTTCCGTGCAATCTATGGTCATTTTGCGCCAAGTGAGAACATCTGCCTGAGGAACACTCCTCCGGTCAGCCATGTCGGAGGGATGAGCAGGATATCATACAGCAAGCGACAGCGGGTCAACACCGGGCTGGCACCTGCAGTGTGGAAGCCTCCGAGTTTTTGCTCTTGATCTGGTCTTCCTTCTGCGATATGTCCACCTCCAGCTGGCCCTGCTCCGACATCAAGCCCTGGATCTCCTTATGCATCGCCTCCAGCTCCGGATTATCGTACGTTGGTCCGGTCTCCTGCAACGGCGGGGCATGTCAGAGCACCGAAAGATCGCGCAGCAACACTGCGGAACAGACGCAGTTCCACCCAACCACCCAGAGCTAGGCGCCGCGTGCCGTGGCTGTCGCCTCTCCCGACAGCCCGGCCATCCCAGGCGACCCCGCTCACTGACCTCGCACAAGATGCCCGGGTCAAAGCTCTTGTAGCGCTTCCTCCTGAACTTGAACATGTCGGCGCGGCGCGGTCTGTGCGACTGCCGACCCCACTTCGGCCCGTCCTGTCCGGCCGGTGGGCGCTATCGCCGGACGCAGACGGGCGTTCGGCGCCGGAGCGTCCGGTCCGGCCAGATGTGGCCCCCCCCCCCGCCCCTCCCCCGTGTGCCGATCTTAGGCACCCCTCTGCGACGCCGGCCGCACGGGCCGCGAGACGCGCCACAGGGCTGGGCAGCAAGCGGTGATACACGCGTGAAACGGACCAACCAGTCCACAACAGCAGCGATGCATTATTCCTTTCGCGCTTTCCGTTAAAGCATTAAAAATGTGCGCGTAATGACGACAGTGCACCTGAAGCATGGAACCCCAATAAAAAATAAGCTAAAACAAAACAAGCTCCCAATAACTGATCCACCATAGCTCCGTGGTAGACAAGATCCATAAGTGCGTGATTACTTTCATGAATCAGATTCTGCAAATCATAAAGATTACCGGTCATCTGTTTTGAAAGCACGAGCCCGTCTAAAAATTAACTGTTCTGGTAACGCGAAACCAACGAATAATAAAACGATCAATTCCAGCACGAATTCAGTAGCTTACACGGAAGCTTAGGTTGTCAAGCTTTCTGTCTCCCTGGAGTTACGGAGAACCCGCGCCCAGCGCGGCCTGATATTATTCTGAACACGGACACGGTGTTGACACACTGTGCCGACTGTAAGCGACGAGCTAGTCTCACGCCGCTCAGAGGATCGCGCGAGAGCTTGCCATCCTAATACCGTGCAGAGCTGCTTCGGTGAAGCCGCAGCGGCGCACCCGGGCATGGGCGTTTCAGCCGAGCTGACTGCGCCGCCCACGACGCCCCAGAAGCTGTCAGCGTTGGTAATGGGACTGCTCGTGCTCGTCACATCGGCAGGAGCCCATCCAATGCTCGACGCCATCACCAACTGGGTTGCCAAGGCTGGACAGACCAAACTCGGTACGAGCACCGTAGTCCACGCTGTGAATGTAGCTGAGGGTTCCGAATGTGCGAATATGATTGTGTCTGCAGCGATGGCTCGTCAAACGCTCGCCAGTCGCTCGCGTTGACGGCTACGGCCAGTCTCTGGCGGCAGGGCAAGGTGTGCTGGAGTCGTTCTTTTCCGGCGGACAGCTGAAGAGCGACGAGACTACCGAAGACCCCATGGAGTTCGACAAACAAATCTGGCTGCAAGAGACAGGTTAGCGAGATGGCACAAGTGTTTACGTACGTGAGCGCTTGCCTGCTCAAAGCGACTCGGAATCAACCCAGCAAACATTAGCGAATCTGTCCCAGATAATCCGAGATCAATTCGAACCGGGGAGGGGGACGCGACGGTATCGTTCCGCATACGCAGACGAAGTTTGCCAATCCAGTCCCGCGCGGCCGCCTCTGCGCTCTCCCCACCCGTCGCCCTGCACCCGCTCTGACCGGCGTGCGCGGCGCGCGCCAGGCCAGGTGAAGGCGCGTCGGTTCGTGTTGAACCAGCGCGAGCGGGGCGACTACATCCTCAAGTTCCGGCGGTACTACCGCTGCCTGTCCGAGAAGCGGAGCAGCCAGCAGGGGGTCCGGCCTGCCGCCCTCGTACTCAAGGCCGGCGCCTCAGCCAGGTCAGCGGGGGGAGGGGACGGGGGTGGGGGGTGGGGGTGGGGGCAGCACCCAGCAGGGGGTCCAGCATGCCGCCCTCGTACTCAAGGCCGGCGCCTCAGCCAGGTCAGCGGGGGGGGGGAGGGGAAGGGGAGTAGTACCCAACAGGGGGTCCGACCTGCCGCCCTCGTTCTCGAGGCCGGCGCCTCGGTCCCGTCAGCGGGGGGTGAGGGCTGGGACGGGGAGCGGAGTGCATCTCTCGGGCCCATGCCAGAGTCGCCTCCCACCACAGGTGTGCATGGGATCAAGGGGTGTGCCTATGAGCGACGCAGCGGCGACTCGGGGGAAAACGCACGCCCATGCAACGGATTAAATGAGGAAACGTCCCAGGTGAAATATTTTCCGGGGTCACCTGTTGCAAGTTATGCTTATTGCGAAGTGTGCGAACACAACGAGAGGAATAATGGCAGCTTAAATACGTACGGACCGAAGTCTGGTACCGGCGAAAAAAACGGAATTTTAAACAATGGTCTGAAAACGACGATGACTGCCTTCCCTTCTGTGATCAACACAGTGATCAGAGATCAACTTACGCCCGCCACCGAAGGCCCTCCCCCTGCCCCGTCCCCTCCCCAGCGGACCGCCACACCGGCGACAGTGCGTCACTAACCGCCACACCGGCGACAGTGCGCCACTGACCACCACACCGGCGACAGTGCGTCACTAACCGCCACACCGACGGCAGTGCGTCACTAACCGCCACACCGGCGACAGTGCGTCACTGACCGTCACACCGGCGACAGTGTGTCACTGACCACCACACCGGCGACAGTGTGTCACTGACCGTCACACCGGCGGCAGTGCGTCACTGACCGCCACACCGGCGACAGTGCGTCACTGACCGCCACACCGGCGACAGTGCGTCACTGACCGTCACTGACCACCAAACCGGCGACAGTGCGTCAATGACCGCCACACCGGCGACAGTGCGTCACTGACCGTCGCTGACCACCAAACCGGCGACAGTGCGTCAATGACCGCCACACCGGCGACAGTGCGTCACTGACCGTCACTGACCACCAAACCGGCGACAGTGCGTCACTGACCGTTCGCCCGCAGTGCCGAGTGCAAGGTGTGCCAGTACCCGAGCCGCGGCGACAGCAGCATCTGGCGGCGGGTCCGCTTCACCGAGACCGCCACCGAGGACGTACCCATCGACATGGACCACTTCATCGTGTCGCCCAGTATGAAGCTGACCATCCAGAGCGCCATCCCCTCGGACGCCGGCATCTACATCTGCCAGAACTTCTACACCATTCACGCCATTTACAACGTCGACGTCGTCAGCTTCTTCGGCGCCAAGACGGTGGGTCGAAGCCTCACTCGTTTACATGAGCCATTGGGTGTCATCCACTACGCTTGGATGGCATCCAATGGCTCACGCCTAGACCAACAACCGAAACGAATGATAAGAATCAGTGTTGTGGGCGAATTACCATACTTTCTCAGTTGGGTAGCGGAGCTGGTCTACCCTAGATAGCAAAAACTGTATTTAGTCATCTTTTAATACTGAATCATTTACGAGATGATTAAAATATTCAGTAAGTTTACGAGGTTAACGGAACTACAAGCAAATGTGTTTGATTTCTTTTCCATAATTATTGTTTCGCTCACTTCTCCAAAAACTTTGACTTTCCCTTATTAATGGTGGAATTTTAAATCAATATATGCATAAAAGCTCGATCCTTCTTCATTAAATCTCCAACCGCATCCACCCCGGGAACGTGGCCAGGGGGGGGGGGGGAGTGAAAGGATCATGCACCGCCCTCTCCCGAACCAAAAGGTTGTCACTAGCACTGGCCGATAACGTAGGATTTGGTCCAAACTCCTACGACTCCAGAGCAAGTTTTACATTCCCCTCCCCTTATGGAAAGTTTGGCTACGTGTCTCCATCCAACCGCTGACTTTATCCACCGGATCACAACTAACTGACAAACGGGTGCCAGCTCCAAACGTTCCTTTGGGTCGGTTTCCAAGTGGGCCGCGACAACAGCCCCAGACGGCCGGCGTTTTCTCCGGCCCAGCCACCAGCACACCCTCCCACGGTGGGCCAACCGCGTCGCCCGCTATTGGCGGCGCGAGCGCGCGTCTGCGTGCGTCGGGCGCTGAAGCGGCACGCCACGCCGCCAGGTGCACGCGCGCAACGCGCCGGCCGAGCCCAAGGCGACGCCTCCGGTCAATCTGGTCGGCCACAACCTGCGCGTCTACACGGAGTGGAGCCAGTGGTCGTCCTGCAGCCGCTGCGACCGGGTCAGCGCACCAGCTGGCGCCGGACCGCCGGGCCGCCGGCTGCTGCGCCCGGCCGCGCGCCCCACCAGCCCCCGACCTCGGGACGGAAGGCAGCTCCCCCACTGCGGTGTGGAGGGCTGTTTGTGGTGCTCGCACCCCTCCACCTCACATCCGTCTCATGCGGCCGCGTGACGTTCAGCCACCACGCCACTTTGCTTGGCAGCTGAAGAACACGCGTGACCCGTTTGGAAAACTGCCATGGGAGGCATCTGATGACGTCATAACAGGCCCATGTCATCGCCACAGTGCTCGATAGTCAGCACGTCAATAAGCGCACGACCAAAGTTGCGACCAACAGCTGATCAGTGACTGCCTGTAACCGTCGCCGCCGCGCCAGTCAGTCACCCTCACAGCATCCCGTCCGTCTGTCGGCAGGTGGGCAAACGCTTTCGATCGGGCATGTGCTTCGTGCGGCCTTTTGACCCCGCGCAGCCCATCCGACTGCACCCCGGCCAGGAGAGCAAGGTCACCAGTGAGTGGATCCTCCCGCCCCTGGCGGGCACGCCGAACTGGCGCACGCCGGTCCGGTCCCTTCCGGCCATTCAAAAACGCTCGGTTGGCTACACCCAGTGCGTAATGCGCCACAAGGGGGCTAGATGTGGCTTGCAGTGCTAGCTTAACCACCAATTCCACAACATGTCACTCCCAGCCCTGCCAGCAGGTCCCCTCTGTTGTGGCGCGCACCGATCGGAGCGGAGATGAGCAGCTCTGAGGGATCACGCCACCGGGGGGACCACATCCCCCCCCTCCCCCTCTGGCGTGGCGCACACCGATCGGAGCGGAGATGAGCTGCTCTGAGGGATCACGCCACTGGGAGGACCACACTAATCTCCGTCGCGCGCGTGTGACGTCACCGGCCGGCGCCGTTGCAGTGTCGGCGTTCGAGCGGTTCCCGGACGGCCTGCCGTGTCGGACTCGGCTGCTGCCGGACGACCTCCGCGACCTGCACGACGTCGGCGGCCGCGCGCCCGAGCGCGAGGTCCGCTACTGCAAGGTGCTCACGCGGCCGGCGCCTGGCTCGGCGCGCGGCGGCGCTCTAATGCGCGATCTGCCGCACGTCCTTCAGCAAGGGTTACGCTCTCCCATTAGGGTCAGGATGCGTGTTAGCAATGCCGCAACCCGTGCGCAGTCTGTCAGGACCCACAAGACCCAAGCGCAATACGCAAGAGCCGTTATCATGTGGAGCAACACGCTGACATCCAAACTCTCACTCGCAGGTGCCGTGCCCAAATACCCGCATTTGGATTGTACGGGATTCATTCGGAAATGTTCGCGAATTATGGAAGAAGAACAATAAGACAGCGGTGGAAGCCCTGGAGGCGCCGCTCACCAGCTACGTCCGCCGCAGTACCGTTTACACGAAGACTGGCAAGAAGATTCGTATCGTGTGCAAGGGGTGAGTGCGGTATGAGTGTGCAATGCATGCTGCCATCACCACTCCACGCAAACCAGGACAGCGACAGGGCGCTTTCGCCGCCGACGTGAGCATCATACACGATAATAAGCTTAACGTTCTGCGCGAACTGTTGGTAACGCTGCGCCGCCTTTTGCCTCGGAACTGCTTCGACACGGGACACGTGGCAGGCGACGCTGGTTCAGACAAAGCCCTGTACTCCCATAGTATTACGACGGCGGCCGCAGCTTGGTTGACACTTTCCAAAACATGGGAAATCCTTATGGTAATTTTGTGCTTTCTGGGGTTTTTCTTCCTAAGCATCGCCATGAGAGGGGGCGATAGAATACGCCCAAAAGCATGAAGGGTGACATGCCTGCTCCAACGCTCAGTGTAATCCTCACGAGTCGGCCTTTCGCCGCATATACAGCCATTAGATTCCAACGGAGCCAGAGCCCTCCCTGCCATCACGCGGCGACAAGTCAACCCGCACACTTCGTCAGAAAGACTGACGGAAGACACAACTTCTCCCACCGAGATGCAGCCGTCACCGTCTATGCGACCCAACGTCAACGGGTCAGTCAGCGATAGTCCGTCGCCTCCTTCCCCGAATGTGTAGACTGCCGTGCCCCCTCCCCCACCGTCACGTGTCGGGGCAGCCCCGAGTGCCACCTGTACGTCTGTGTGCGCGCCAGAGCCGACCTGAGCAAGGTGGTGCAGTGGCAGCGTGCCGGCCGCCTCCTCGACCCGGTCGCCTATCGGCGCGAGACCAAGGGGCGCGTCTTTATCGATATCAACAAGGTGGTGCACATCCGACGCGCCGCGCTCCAGGACTCGGCTCTGTACACGTGAGTGAGCCGGCGACGCGGCCAGAGTCGAGCAGCGCCGGGGCGCGGTCCGTACGCGTCAGGCCGCGCCTCTGACGCGGCCCGACAAAAGGGGCTTCTCGTCTGACCGATGCCAGGCGCTGCTCTACGCCAGAAAACTGTACGAATGTGGTGAGCTATGTAGACACGGAGCTTTTGCGTTTCGTTCACATGCAGCCAAAACGTTGAACACGGACAAATAAATCCCCATCGTCCATTTCACGCACCAAAAGTGAAGGAGCCACTGGCAGTCTCCCCACCCCTTCCCGCCCGCGGTCCTTCCATGCGAGTCTTTTCTTATGTGCCCCAAATGCGCAGTTTTAACGGTCATCTTCTACCACATACTCGCACACCCAATGACAGACCTCTATCGTCATCAGATTGCGCAATGCTCACACGCGTTCTCCACAAGTCCGCCGCATTTCGATGGGACTTGAGCAAACAGCGGTAGAGGATAACACATTTTGGCCAGGCCCGTGCACATCCGAGCCACGGGTTCAGCAATCTGGATGTGCCGTTCCCAGACCCCGGCTTCCAGGTCTCGTGTGATAACCCCCCGGCTCTATCCCCCCAGGTGCTGGCAAAAGGACAACATGGTGGCGTCCGTCAACTTAGTGGTGGAGTACAACGTGTTCTTCAAGTACAAGGAGTACATCGTTGTTGTTGGCATCAGTTGTCTGGCGCTCGGGATTGGTGGTGCACTGTTGTACATGTGTGTGAAGGGCTGCGTTAAAAAGTGTGGAGGTGGAAAGAAGAAGCCAAAAATGATTATAGGAAAAACGTAGCGTCAAGTGGAACCGAATTTTGGGCGTTGTAACCAATAAATGAATACCAAAAGCTCTTGCCATAGCGATGGATGATAAAAATCGGTCGCCGAGGCTGTGGAGTTATTGAGTCCATTCAGTCGTGAGCAAATGGCCAATCGGCTACGTCCAAACGACGTGCCGCTGAAAACATGCCACTTTAGGGCACAGGAGCATTGATCCGGTACAATAGCTTCAGCAGTTTTTAAATAACGAGAATCGGTCTGCACAGACCAGCGATACTGCTCTATCGACAGCTCATACCCCGCCCGTGCTCGTGCGATTCCAACACATCCGCATTAAATCCCAGCCCGGGGTCACCCGCCTCGCCCTACTACCACCAGTTCCCTCCCGTCCAGCGGCCTCCAGCCCCTCCCAGCCCAGCCAGCGGCGGTGGCGGTCACTGACTAGCGGCGGCGGCGGCGCCGGCGGCTCCTGGCCGGGCTTGGGTCGCAGCGTGGGCGGCACCATGGCCGGAGTGAGCGCCGCTGGCGGCTCCACGCCCTGCAGCTTCTGCTGGATCAGGTGCAGCGCCAGCGCGAACTGCTCCCGGTTCAGCTTGCCCGTCTGCTTCATGTCGCAGAGGTTCCTGGCAGGGCGACGCACCCAGTCAGTCACTCAGCGAGGACAGAGGACGGAGGTCTCATCGAGACTGCTGACACACACGGATGGCTGGGCAGGGGTGGCTCTGGCGGCTCAGACGGCTCTGGCGGCTCAGGCGGGCGACACCCGGTGCTGGGTTCAACAGGAGTGGTCTGGCGGCCCTGGCTACTCAGGCGGGCGACACCCGGTGCTGGGTTCAACAGGAGTGGTCTGGCGACTCTGGCTACTCAGGCGGGCGACACCCGGTGCTGGGTTCAACAGGAGTGGTCTGGCGGCTCTGGCGGCTCGGGCGGGCGACGCCCGGTGCTGGGTTTAACAGGAGTGGTCTGGCGTCTCTGGCTACTCAGGCGGGCGACGCCCGGTGCTGGGTTTAACAGGAGTGGTCTGGCGGCTCTGGCGGCTCGGGTGGGCGACGCCCGACGCTGGCGCTCGGCCACAGCCATAACAAGGGGGACCGCAAAGCAATGATGGACGCCCCCTGCCTGCAGAACGCGACACAGAAACAGGGTACGTGACAGAATACATCAATTAACGGCAGAGTAGTTACACAGCCGGTCGGGAACAACTAGCGCGGAGCCGCCCCAGCTGGCTGACGGACGCCGTCTGGCTGGCGGCTCGCGCCCGCTCACACAGTCTGCGGCGGCCAGACTAACCAGATGTGCGCCAGGCAGAGCTGGGGCACGCCCGACTTGAGGAAGATGTCGCGGATCTCGGCGCCGGAGACGAAGCCGTCCTGGTCGAGGTCGGCAGCGCGGAACATGACGTCCGAGCGCGCCTTGTCGCTGGCTGAGACCACCCACTGCTGCTGCGCCACCGGCCGCGCCAGCGGCTGCCCGCACGCCAGCCACCCGTCAGCACGTGCAGCAGACGTAACTCGAGGGACGCGCGCTGGGCCGGCGGCAGGCCGCGCGCGCGTTTACGTCCACCTGCCTCTTTGAAAACGGCGTAACAACACCCCCAAGAGCCCATCGATAGGCTTCGCCGAAACCGGCCCCAAGTTACAATGATATGTCTATTGTTGATAAATGGGGAGCGCCTTTCCGCACGATAACCTGAAGCACCCAAAGCATATACGTGCACAACATTCCTCGGCGGATTTCGAGGGTTTTGAGAGCTCCAACCACCAGGCATGCAGCCTGGCATCAGAAATACAGCACGCTACCCGTCCACACATTCACACACAGTGCCCTGCACCTGGCCGGCGGACAGGGCCGTCCGCGGCCAGACGCCGAGCCCGTAGCCAGACGCCTGGCGGGTGCCGGCTCACGGCTACACCTCGGGCTGCGGAGCGCGTGCAGCACTGCCAGATCGTCACCTTGATGAGTCCGTCCGAGGTGGGCAACAGGTCCGGCATAGTGCCCAGCGAGGAGCCCCGCTTGGCGGCCGGCAGCAGCTCGGCGGGCAGCGCGGCCGGCACAGCACACTTGGCCAGAGCCTTGTACACCAGGTGCATCGCCTGCCAGGGCACAGCACAGCGCACCGTCAGCCCTGCATGAGCCTAGCATCTCTCGCACTTTATCAACGGTGAAGGTATGTACCATGAGTGGAGGTACGGATACATCAGCAGGGAATATGGTTCGTGAACATTTCGGGGTTTATGCGCGGCACTGCGAGAGGAAACGTTGTGCGTTGTCCTGCTGAGACGACGTTACGCGTGGTATGGCTGAGAAGGCGTTATGCGTGGCATGGCTGACAGTGGAAGTTATGCGTGGTATGGCTGAGAGTAGAAGTTATGCGTGGTATGGCTGAGTGGAGACACTGTGTGTGGTATGGCTGAGAGTAGACGTTATGCATGGTATGGCTGAGAGGAGACACTGTGTGTGGTATGGCTGAGAGTAGAAGTTATGCATGGTATGGCTGAGAGAAGACGGTATGTGTGGTATGGCTGACAGGAGGCGCTATGCATAGCATGGCTGAGAGGAGACGGTATGCATGGTATGGCTGGGAGGCATCATTATTTGTGGCATTACTCAGAGACGTTCCTCACAAAAAATCCTCACGACATGACCGACATCAAGGTACGCGATTTTTACACACTAAAACATCGAATACTAACCCAAATTCGAATACACAGCCAGAGGGCATCACTCATGAATCGGGATTGTCATGTAAGCCATCACACAGTGCGTGATATACGTCGATGACACCGCAGTTATACCTGCCCGACGGCTACTTACGATTGTGAACTCGTCTCGGTCGAGGAAGCCGTCCTTGTCAATGTCTGACAGGTCCCATATCCGTCCCAGAGTGTCCATCGGCAGCTTCGAATTCAGCAGCACCTCCCGCACCTGAACATTGTACCGAGTTATGGAAGTGAGCATCCAGTCATGACAGCATGTGATCAAACATGACAACACCCGTCACCCCATGACGTCTACCAGCAACAGCTGGCTGAGATCAGATCTCTGGAGTCACCTTATTGCCAGGTAGTCGTTCGTTGATTGGTCCGAGGGAGTTGAAGATCTGGTCGTAGCGCTGCTTATCCTCCGGCTTCACGGTCCAAACAGTGCTCCCGTTGCTGATGGCCGGCGAAAACGAGCCGGCAGGTGGCGGCTCACCCTGAAACCCCAGATAAGCATCTCATGTTTTCACTTCTCTTAACAACTGCTGATGCCACTGCCGGATGATTGCTTACACTTGAAGTCAGGAACTCCCACTGTTGGTGTTGGTTTTAGCTAAATCAAAATATCACTGCCTTCATTGTTTTCAATGAAATATGGCTGGAAGATGGCCACAAAACACTGCATGAAAAAACATGGCTGCTCGCTATATAAACTCAGCTGACATCTGAGGCTTTTAGGCTCCTGATGAGCCATACACATTGTTTATTCCCACAACACACTCACCATATTTGGAGGAGGGACATTGCTGCGAACATTAGACAAATCCACGTGTTTGGCATTCTGGGCCAGCGCTATCATCTTTAAGGCCACAAAGAACCCAGTTTTATCCAACTGGCCCATACATCTTGAATCTGCTATGTCCCAAATCTGAAACAAAACAAACTTTTAAGAGCACACACTGACCAAGCAATGACAAGGACCTGCTGATAGATACCATATATATATATATATATATATATATATATATATATATATATATATATATATATATCACATGCTGGGTTTTCTTGGCATTAGCTCAGAAGAGCTGTTTTCTGAAGGCCTACACTGTGCAGCCTACAGAATTTTTGCACTGAGTTTGTGCTCAGGAGACCTATTTCCTAATCTCTTATGTTCACAAGATCTGCCTGCACAAATGCTATCAGGTCAGAATCTGGGAGCACCAAGGCTTCTCAATGCATCCTTCTCATGCAATGCCACAAGCATTGCATTAAAAGATCTGGAAACTTGGAGGAGACATGCTGCCCTCATTCCAACTGTGGTGGAGCCAGAACAACTAAGCCTTCAGAACACAGGGTTGTGTCAGTGACGACTATGAAAATGAGCCTTGTGCACCCAGATTTGCTGTAAATATGGTTTTGGAGGCAGCCATTTTGACAGAACATTATGCAAATGGGCCCTCTGAACACTGCCATTCAGAACATAAGCCCTCTGAATGTGGCCTCCAAAACAGAGGCCTTTTGAAAATACATGTTCTGCAAATGAGCCATGTGAATGCAAATGTATTCAACTGGAAAAGCATCATGGAAGAAAATACACTTTCTGAATACAGGCCTTTTGGAATCATCTGTTCAAGTGCAGGCCTTTCTGTCAACTGACCCTTAAAAGGTCATTCTGAAATTGTTATTCTAAATTTGGCCATCTCTGCATGGGTGTTTTGAACAGGCTTTCTGAATGCAGGTTGCCTGAGCACAGGCCTTCTGGTAATAAACTGCTGTAACATACACCTTCTCCAATCTGGCTACATGAGGCACGACAGTTTTCTTCACAGCTGGTCCACAGTGATATGATGCCGTTGGCTTCCACTGGCCTCAACACACCACACATGTCAGCAATCTTGCCCTTGCCAGTAAATGAGACCAGTGCTATAATACTGCAAAAGTGAATTTCACTATAAAATAATAACACGTAGCACTCTCCACAGTGTTCAGGGTCAACCTGCCATTAGATTTTCAGTTTTTAATTTCAAATAACTTGGAGGCATAACACTAGCCATGTGACTTTTACCTGTCCCAGCACATTATCTTGAAGTCCTGACTTCTTCAGAAACTTGGCTGCATCCAAGGCACCAATAACATTTGTGTGATTTTTATCAATCTGGAAGAAGGATGTGACACATAATGAACAGATCTATGATAGTCACATAATACAAAATGTCACACAATATGGCATATCACAAATGCCATCTCATATGTATTCCACCAAGCCAAGGGCTGAGCCAACTTTGTAAAAGTGGACTGTTGTATTGCACCCTACAGAATAGGCAAGTTCTATCCTCAACACACCAACAGCCATACTCCAATACCATCCTGGTGCATGATGGGCACCTGAAAGAAAGCATGCACTTCTCGCATTTCACACAAAAACAGATGCATCAGCAGGACTGTAGACATACCTGGTTGTACCAGGCTTCATATATGCTAGCATGAGATCCTGCTATCTGAAAAAGAAATGGAAAATTGGTTAAGCAGGATACAAACACTTTTACAAGCCTGTTCTCATGCACAGTTTTTGAACAGCAAATGCTATTGGAATATAAATATTCTTACAGGGATCCAATGCCTTAACAAAACATGAATAGGCTAAATTCTTCTGGATTTCACCAAGCTTAAGACTTGGCAGCAAAGCTGCAGGAGCAACATACATTGATATTGGGAGCCCAAAGACAGGGGAAATGCCTTATCAAATATTTAACACACAAATTATCTCAGATTTCAATCACTTTAATACTCTGATCAGTTGGGTAAATTCAAGGGCAGTGGCATGCAATCTGGATGGGTCACAAATATTTGTTCGTGAAGACAGCTTTACAGGAATAGAGACCAAGTGTAGCTGGGGACCACATACCCTACTATTTTAACTGATTTTGGCACAACACCACAAAATGCTTCAACATGAGAAATGGGGTGGCAACCAGATCACCTTCATTTAGCATCAACTCCATTGCTGGTAAAAGTATCTGCCTGACATATTATAATAGTATTTATAACCTTATGGATAAGAAATTCAACCATTTTAAACTTGGTATCATGAAATGATAAGGCCAAAGAACTTGTAATTTATGTTTTACACATATATGTCTATCATTTATATATATATATATATATATATATATATATATATGTGTATATATATATGTGTGTGTTTTATAAGTATTCCCATCTAACATTATAATTTCTTGTTCCAGGTACCTAACACAGCACAGATTAAGATTTCATCCAGAGAAGAAATCCCCTAGCTCTATGTTGCTGCATCTATCTGCAATCAATGTCTCAAGTGGAAGCACCGAAAGCACTCAAGGTTTATGCTTGGTTCCATATTACATGTGATGCACTTAGTCCCACTGAATGAGTGACACAACAAAATTTGCTCTACTGTTTTGCACTCCTCAGTGTGAAACTGCCCTTTTGAACTCCTACTTACTCCATGCAACATAGTTAATGTTCTGGTAGTCAGCTTGAGCACTAGAAAAACAAAATTGATCCAGTAAACTCCATGATCTATCATGGAGCTCTAAATTGACCCCCATAGAATTGAAGCAAATTTCACCTTGATAGCTGGGTGATTTGGGCCTGTATTCTCCAGGCCCTACCATGTCTGTGCCAGTGCTCAGTGGACATCATTAGTATTAAGCATTGAGATCATGGCCATTGATAACAAAATGTAATTATTAGTACCAATTCCAACATACATAGAGGTTGACAGGAAAGGCCAATTAGGGGGAAACACACACCTATCTTCTGCAAGCTCCTACGTCAATTCCATGTGGTGAATGAAACATGCCAAAATTATACTTAGCCCATTCACTATATAAGCATCCCAAAAAACGGTGGCAATTTCAACCGCTTATTAATCCACGCTTCCAGCTTGCACAGCACGCCCCCGCTACACAAAGTTAGGAACACTTCCAAGTTCATTTCACACAATACAACCGCCTTTTGGATTCGAAATACCTCATCCGGTGTCATGCTTGCGCTCCCAGCTCGAACATCCCACACCACACGCAACTATCTCAACGAACGAGGCCTGTGTGATGCACAGGAGGCGTGGCTTAGGAATCGATCATGGGTCGAGTGAACGAGGCAGGCAAATTCTCCAGACCAAAACATAAAAGCGACGCGAGTGGTAATTCGAATTGCTCACGAAATTTGGGTAAGAGACCCGTATTCCTTAGGGTCTTAGTTATTTTCAAACAGGGTTGTAGCCTTTAGAAATGAGGTCGTGTGCTGAACAATGAAAAGTGGCAAAACCTTCTTCCAAGTTAGGCTAGTGAACTGATTTTGCCCTGGATTTGATCCATTTTTTCTCAAAATGAGTGTGGGCGGGGGGGGGGGGACTCAAGCAAGTGACGGAGTCCCCTCTTGAAATGAATAGGAGACTACACCTTCGAATTCGAAACTGCAATTTGAATGCATTGTAATTCGGCAGCACCACGAATAGTGGTTGCTGAGAATAGTTGATGAAGCTTCAGGCTAGGCGCAGAAGAAATATCCTCTGCGTGTGCATGGACGTAACCAAAACTTAAATGTTGCTGTGGCCTGGTTCTGTTCTGGTACCATTTTATGCCATCAAAGCACGAAACTAGTTAAATCTGCCGCTCGCTTACTATGGTTCGAACCCCAGTAAACGCAGTGTTGGTTAACCGACTTTGCTGGTCAACCCACTGTTGGTTACAACCAGCACTTGGCGTGTAATTATGCCCACGGGTGAATGTGACCTTTTCAATACCGTTACGCATGCTGGGCAGTCAAGGATATATGTCCCCATTATTTTTCGAAAATGAGACCTTGCCCCGCCATCCGATACACATTGCCCGTACAACGCCTTTTGCACCTTTGAGATTAAGGGACACCAATTTAAGGTAAACCTTTCTGCAGGATTTTGTTCACCTGGGATTCCTGCTTTCTCCGCTCACCACCCCCAATCCACATCACTGCATCCATGTCCTATACCACTCACCAGTCAATATCTGTCCTGATCCAGTTCATCGGATAATTCTACCCGTCTTTCTGGTCAGAAAACCGCATATCGTATAATGCAGAGAATAGACCACCTCGGGCCAGGCCAGCCACACTTAGGCCAGTTGCTACCTGATATATAGGGGTGCGCAAGACGGGAGGCCAAACGATGCGCGTTTCTCCCCAGTCCTTACACCCATCGCCGCCGGACTGTAAGTCAACATTTTTATCTAGACTGCGAAGGCGGTCCTTGATGCTTTGTAGGACATGATATAACATCTGTAGGATGTAGGATGACAACATCTGTACTTTGAAGACAGTTGATGCACGCGCCGCCATACCGCATGCTGTACTAACGGCCAGCACTAACCCACCTGAGCAATAAAGCTCCTTTATTCAATCATCGAGATCAGTTACGCAAACTAACCAGTACGTGAACTGATGCCTTCGCCACCCAACATGGGAAATGTGCGAAACTATTTAGCGACACGGGAGGAATATTACTAAACGTATGTACAAAGCTGGCGTCAATTTCCACGGGATGTAAAATGAATGGTTCTGCCGCGAGAGGTCCCAAGAACAGCGCGTGCGACAGGGTGGGCTATTTTAATCACGCCTCCAAACCTCCAGCAAGACTATCGCGAAGCATCCACATACGCGCGGCTATCCTCCGATGTATGCAGAGATGACGAGGGGACGTCGGAAATGAGCACGGCAAACGGGGTTGGCGCGCTTCTACCAACGTTCCTACGCTTGCCATCAACACTACGACAGGCTCAGCATCACCAGCCTGTCTTATGAAAGCGACTCTCCCACAGCAACGGGGAGCTTCCAGTGAGCAGGAGCATCAAGACTGTCAGCGAACTTCGGAGAGGGTCGTCGGCACCTTGGCGCGTGGCGGCTACCGTGTAGTGTGTGCACGATCAAGGTCCGCGTGTAGTTGAATTGGGAGCTCTCGGAAACGATCACAGTCTACTTTTAAGATCCCATGAGCTCCAACACTAAGCTTCCCTCTAACGAACGCCTATCAAGGCAGTGCCTCTCTGTCTTCGTAGTTTACATGCGTATTTACCAGCGGTGGCACGAACGGACGAAGCACTTGATCACTCATTGTATTGTTTGAAACTTAAAACCCAAAACGCAATAGGTACTCGACACAACTGCGCGGCCAACGCCGTCGGGTCACTTCAGCGACAACGCCCAATGGTACACTTGCACCCAACATCATACAGCACTTGACATTGCCACTCGCGACCCAACCTTTGCCAACACCGCACAAGGCGCCCTCCCAGTGAAAAACGTGACATCAGATGAGACGCACTCGCATCGCATGATCATGAAACGTTCGTGGCTCACTCCCCACTCTCGCGCCTCATCACGTGGAATAGCTTTGCACAGCTTCAAGAATGAGTGCTCAAAAAGTTCAGTGGACATTCTTCAGCGTGACTTCAAACACGAGGGCACTGTTAGGTGGGATGACTGGGGGGCTGCCTCTGGAGCCGTAGGCCATGTGCGGAGGGCACGTGATCCTCCGCTTTCCGCCCACCTTCATGCCCTCCACTCCCACATCCCAGCCCTTGATCACCTCCTTCGCACCCAGTCGGAACTTGAATCCGGGACCGCCAACGGTCTGATCAAATTGCTTGTTATTCTGCTTGAGTCGGCCCACGTAGTACACCGAAACAGGCCGGCCCCTTTTGGCGACAGCGCCACTTCCAACGATGAGATCCTCAATCATTACACCACCCCCGATCGTCTTCTTTGCGGACTTGGGGGTCACTGGCTCCTTCTTCATCTGCTGATTGGGGGTCACTGGCTCCTTCTTTTTCTGCTGAACAGGCGTTTTTTGTGCCTCGGCCGAATTCTGGTCCGTATTCTTTTTCTTCTTTGGGCTTTCAGATACACTCACAGACCCATTTTCCTTTCGGCTCTTCTCCACGGATGCTGACAGTTTATCCTTCTTAAGTGCTACTGGTTGAGTCCTCTTCAGGGGAATTTCGGGTTCGCCATCGGATTCATCATCGTCATCGTCATCTTCATCGTCCTCGTCCTCGTCGTCCTCCTCGTCATCATCTTCTTCATCGCTAAAACCCTCCTCTTCCTCTTCAGCCTCCACTTCATCATCGTCCTCATCGTCGTCTTCGTCTTCGTCTCCGTCATCTTCGTCTGCATCCTCATCGTCGTCATCGTCACTATCATCGTCTACAGCATCTTGCAACTTTGCCTTCTTAGGAACAATTTCTTTCACTGGCGATCCCTTTCTCTTGGAACCATTCTCAGCGACATCTCCCATTGCCCCTATGCTTTTACCTTTGCTCTTCTTTAAAGACGCTGCTTTCGTGACCGGAACCAGGTCTGGAGCTTCTTCTTCATCAGACATGTCACTCATTGTCATATCTTCCATATCATCATCATCAATCTCATTGTAGAAGCCAGTGAGGTGTACTGGCACCGGTGTCTGCCCATCAACATACAGGGCCAAGGAATCTCCGCCCTGGAAATTGAGATCCAGCGTTTGCTGCGGGTTGCGATTTTTGTTTAGGTGGCAGAGAATAAACTCCTGACCATCGACGTTGATCATGACTTGGGTATTCGGATTGGCATTTGCGCTGACGCTGGCTACGTCCAATGCAGCCATCGACACGTGGAACGACTTCTCCACGATCTGCTCATACCGTTTTCCTGGTTGGAGAATCAGACCCCAAAACGTATTGTTCTTGACGTCCATTTCACAGCGGGATATAACTGTGCTTGAGGACTTCAACTGTACCAAACCTGTACACACCGTTTCTGTAGATGTTGTTCCTGAAAAATAAACTCATATTAGCAACACAAATAACAGGCGGAATCTTGCAATGTCTGCCTCTAGGGCGTCCAAATGTTCCGCGAAATCCCATATACCGGAGGTTGGAAAAATAATACAGTGCAGAGACAAGGCAAAATCGCTGCGTTACCGACGATCCGCAAAATCAACAAGAGCACGGTAAAACCTACACGCCTGATCCCACAATGGCATTGGGATGTCTCTGTCATGGATATCTCATCTCCCAATGGCCCAGCTATGGATGACTCATCCAGCAGAGTTGAAATGTGACATTTTGGCCGGAGGGTGAATGCCCACCACTTCCACAAATGTACTACAGCTGATGCGTCCAGCATTACTACATCCCGTACATTTTTGCTTAAACTCGCTTTGCGCAGTGATCATTTCCTTAAATCCCGTCGACTATGGTAGCTTAGTTGGCTGGATTAGCCTGCCTTCCATTCACTCCACCGCAGTAGGGTGAGGTCGAATCGGTTTCAGCGCTCCCTACTTGACCTTCACTGGGATGGCATGCGGTGGGTGGCAATGGCCGCATGAGAGTTAGATGACATAAGAGGCAGGAAGAACAGTGCCAAAAATTGCGGCGTTAGGCTTTCGCCGCAAAGTCCTGCCGTTCGCTGGTAATTTCACAATCCCCTGGTGGAGTCTTCATTCTAGCATTAAAACCTGTGTTGTACATTTGTACCCAGTTTTGAATTGACATAGCCACCTCAAAAATCCCTCAGCGCAGTTCACAGCTATGCCCTTCCAGTTTCTGAGCTACACACCCACAAAAATGTGTGAACTATTTTGAAGAGTATTTTAAGGTTGCCCAGGCATCCACAATGCCATAATAACATCAGTCAAATCCTGTCATTTCATTTGCCTTGCTGAAATCAAAGCAAAAAAAAAAATTGTTGAGTTGCTCAAATATGATGTTCATCAGCTTGGTTTTCCAACATGACTGTCAATTGTGTCTCAATCAATGTGTGCAAGGACATCACCAAACAATGATGTATTGAGGAGCATAATTACTAGACACAGAAATTGTGTTGTTTAGAGCAGTTTTTCTACTTAAAAGTATACCAATCACTAGAAGTGAACTAATTTCATCACATCAGATGCATACTTCAATATATACAAGCATGGAACATTCTCTTCAAGTGCTGCTTAATGTGGGTGCAAATCTCATAAGCCCATTCAATCAAAAAGCTCAGTCTAAGATAAAACAAGAAATTGCCAGAAAGTTGTGTACCATGGTATGGCAAGGGCAATGCAATACCAGATGTGAATGTTATCAGCATGCAGAGGGTGCCACAACAAAAGCCATTTGCATCTGCCACCTTCAACACTCCATGCATGCATAGGTCTTGCTTTTGCATTGAACATCACTCAGATCGGAGGCTAGATGTCAGAGATGCACTGATGTGGGGATTGGATGCAAATCTAATGTCCCTTTAAATTCAACTATCACAGAACCTGGTATTTTAAATTGGTGAGATCCATGAATTATGTATGATTTTAGTTATGTATGTTATGACCCCAAGTTGTGTATGATTTTTTACATAGTATAGCTAGCTGAGAATACATTCAAACATATTGCAATCAAAATAAAACCCACGCCTGTAAAAACCAATATATTCCAGACATCATGCGCATGTTGCCCAGTAAAAACAGATGAATACCAAAAGCCGACTGCTGATGCACACAACAGTAAGACCATCAAAACGTTTTTCATATCCCAGTATTCAGAGAGACGGCTTTCCATCCCTTGTACCATTTTGCAGTCATAACGTGTAATGGAGGGCTTTCATAATTGGTAATAGGTGCTATTTGTAGTAAATGTATGCAGTATGAGTAAATGCAATGACGGGCTTATTTTGGACACTGTAGGTCATTACGTCAAAAAGGTAACAAATTACTATGCAGACACCACACATTAGACACCTACCCCTCCAACGGCGACACACGTGCCACACCACACCGCGAAATGCTAACCGCCAAGCGCCAATGTGCCGCAGCGCAACGTGCGACGAAGGATCTTGGGAAATAACTGATGGCGCCTGATGACGTCACCATAGTAACAAAGCTGCCGATGACGGCAGCAGCTCAGCTAAGCGGGCCATTTACCGCAATCCCATCCTCCCATGAGCCAAAGCGTTTACATTAAATGCTGGACTATGCAAACGAATTTAACCAAAATTCGCAAAATTATTGGAAAATTGGCATTTGACATTTACCCATGGTCGGAGTCAGAATTTGCAAGGGGGGGGGGGGGGAGGAAGGGCTATCATGATTTGCGGGTAGCAGAGACACATTCTTTGAGTAAGCGAGTCCCAAATACATTTCCATTATCAACGCATTGCGAGCGGACTAATAGACCCACACAAGCTAATTAGTATTGCATCTAACGTCTCATGAGGTATCAATGCTAATTTGCCCTGATGGTGTAGCCAGCAATTTCCAGTGACAGTCGCGCGGCCCGAACCGGAGAGAGTTCGTACCAGGGACCGGGTTCCCGTACGCGACCAGCACTGGTGATTGCAACATCTAATCGCATATGGGCCCGAATCAAAGCCCGTCGGTGTTTTCTACGGAGCCCGCCTGTCTGTCATGGGAAAAAAACGCAGACTGTTTGCGCGCACAGCCCACTTAAGCGTGGCGGGTACCAGGGCCTGGCACGCCGCCGCCGCGGCTCGCACCGGACGGGAGATAGGACACCTGTGTGAAACCGCTCGGTTGCTCGCATCGTCGAATTAGAAGGACCACGCGTGACGCATGCAGGTTTTCTTGCGTCTTGCATCGGCGAGCACCAGTGTGGTATACGATGCGTTCCTGTGCGACCCCAGCTTGGTAGTATGAACGAACGCAGCTGAGTCTCGGTCAGGGGCGGATCTAGCCTAGAGTTGCTTTTTTGGCGGGCGGGGGGGGGGGGGAGCTGCCGTTCGTCGCCAGCTGGCTGGTGTGGGATCTGAGGTCCAGTGCCTGGTGCCTCTCGCGAGTACCTGTAGGGACACCATTCAAAACAAAAAAAAGCACCGAAATGCGTTTGAATTTTAAACAAAAGTTAAAACAAAACAGTTAACACAGTTAAAGTTAAAACAGACGGTAAGTAGACGGAACTTTTATGAAGTTATTGGAATGTTTTGGGGGGCCAAAACATACTCTCATAGGTTTTGGGGGGCCATGACTCCGTGCCCCGCCCCCTCTCCCACAGGATCCGCGTATGGTCTCGGTGCTCACATGCGATGCAATCACAGTTCAGCACCGGCGCCTTTCATTGAACAATACCACAAACTTGAATAACGGACACAAGTATTTCGTCGTGCCTGCTTAAAAGGATTTAACGCTTCATTACGCAGCATGTCTTTACTTTTCGTAAGTAATGTTTGCAATAGACGACAGCGCCAGTGTTCTTGTGTCCTAATTGTCTTTCTGGTCGCGCTCTGTACTTCATCGTCCAGAGGAAGATCAGTAGTGCTGCCATATTTATTTTCCAAAAAGCTGTATATTTGATGGAAATTTGGCGCAGTGTCGTCAATTGTCGGCCGGTGGCACCAAACAGGTGCAGTGATATCGATTTTCAGCTCTCTAGTGCTTGGGAGTCGGCATCCTGAATCCGAAATTCTGCGTTCACAGCGGTGGGCAGCTGTGACCTTCAGGTGTGGTTTCATACAGTATGTGATTTTTTTGCGGACGCTTGTTTCCTAGCGTGCCGAGTTAGGACATGTTTTCCATCTTTTGCATTATAGTTTCTGGTAGGCGGTGAGTGTTCACATTTCAGGTAGAAAGGACGTTAAAACTGGACTAGAATTATTTATTGATGTGTGGTGCATCAAGTGATGAGTACCGTTATTGTGTGGCTGTAACACTGAATTCAGATCTCTCAATGTCACTGCACCATTGTCGGCCAGTGACATTCATAGCCATAGGCTACAATAGTTCTAAGTTTTTGTGGGGGAGGGGGGCAATGGTTCATTGTAATTTGGCTCAAGTTAATGCTGAGGGGGCTGCTGATCTTTTTTTGTGAAATTTGGATGGAGGCAAGCATGCTAAAAATCCATCCACAGCACCAAACCATAACATAATGATGATGCTGAACCTAGAGCATGCATGTTTGGATCCGAAGCTGGGTTAAATGAAGTTGACTTTTTGAAGGACTGTTATGGGTGCTTTTTTGTTAAAGCTTATCTCAGCAACAAAATAATTTTGTGAAACAGTGATTCCATATGATTTGAGGTTGGTGGTGACCTATGCCAAAGTTGAGCTTGTGAAGTATATCCCGTGCATCTGCTGACATTGTTGCTGGAATATCACTGTTATGCAGGGTGTGTCCTCAGCACTCATCATGATGTCACATGCTTTTTCAGTCTCTTGGGGGATAATTGTGCCTCCTGCCTCCCCCAGATGCCAGACTGTAAATCATCATGTTACACTGAACATGTCCAGCATAGCAGAAGCAGTAGCAACAATCCAGTGCATGCATACTCTTAATCTAAATGCTCGAAGGTTTACTGCATGCTTGACACCAATTCGGGCTTATTGACGTAATAACTCAAGGCATGTTGCTGCAAAGGTATGTCAGGCTGAAATACTCCTAAAGCATTTTTCAACACCTCAACAACAATTTGACCAAAATTTTCAAGCGAAGTAATTAAAAAATTTAGCACAAGCTGGCCCAGCCTGAATTTGGCACACAGTTAAATGCACCTATTTTTGCACAGGCATCTAATACAGTATATGGACTTTTGGGCAGACCAGCTCAGATGTGGCAACACTCCCCATACTTGGGCATGCACCTGTCCCCCATGCAAGTTAGCTGCCTTCATTGGCATTGAATGAAGTCTGTTTTTTTTGGAAATAAGTGAAAAACAGAATGGCAAACATAAAAGACAGCAGAGACATGCCACCCTATGTCAGAAAATAAAATGATGCAACCTCACCCATTCAAAGCCCCATGCTCGCATAGCAGTTAGCCAGCAATGGGTCATTGCTGTGGAACATTGAAACAATAGGACAATTTTGAACAATGGAACATTGCTGGATGGCTGGAACCTACCTACCCTGTCATGAGCAAACTGGTGTGAGGACAGGGCAGACATGCAAATCAATTGAGATGAGTGTGTGGAGGGGAGGCAGACAACATATTTCAGCAGTCTTAGAAAATTGAACCTTATGTGAGTGGGGTCAAGCAAATTTGTCTGCCAGCAGGTAATGGTGTTTTTCAAGTTTGACATGAGAATCTTTTACCTTAAGGAACAGCTTTTAGTTCAACAAGATTGTAAACTTATAGCCTTATTGATGTTGAGTGAGTAGTGTATGGTAGAGTGAACAGCAGATTCAGTGTTGCCATGGCTTTCCATGTTATTTTTTCTTATGCATAGCTGCGAGTCTAGGGAGCACAAGTTATAGTATTTTGATCTATAAATCCTAGTTTCTCAGGGTGAAACAATAGCCAGTGTTGTAATGTTCAGTAGTCTGCCCTTGTCATGTCATTTGCAACCATGAGTTGTGTCACCTCCCTCTGGTCCTAGCTCTACACCCAGCCATCTTTTTCAGTTTTGAAAATCAAGTCAGAAGATAGAAGGAGGATTTCTCTTTAGATGGGGGAAATCAGTCCCGATTTCGCTGCAGGGGACGTGTACTTTCAAGATGAAGATTCAAAAATGGGTAAGTAAAAGCCTTTAGTGCATGGTTGTTTGTGACTTTCAGCCCTAGCGAGAGGGTGTTCATGGGCAAAAGGTGGGGATAAATTTGGGGGTTCATTGCGTTGTCCAGGGACCTTATGCTGTTGCTCAGGACCTAGTTGTACACCTGCCGGGTCAATGTGATCGCTAGGGAGCTTACCATGTTGCCCTTGATATCTTTGCATTTTGTCGTAGCAGCCCACGCTGCTGTTGGTACACTATCTGCGTACATGCCTGGGCAATCTTGATCGATTAGGTTTCCCTCCACGGATTCTTGTCATTCGCTGAAAATGCTCTATACGCTTTTCCGGACCTCACATGCCACGGTACACTCAGTTGCTCAGGGGCGCTTCACATTAGTTTCGGGTTCTTTTCACTTGCTCGGAGGGCCTTATGCTGTTGATGGGGCTCTTCAGAGGTAAGGCACCGAGACACTCCATGCTCAGGGGTCCTCTACTTTGATCGGGGGCTCTTTCCTTTTCATATCATTTTTGGATGATTGTTCACTCCTATCGGGGCCCTTTCTGTTAGCCTGCGCGGACACTCTTGATCGCACAGGGGATTAATTATGGTCTTGGGTATTTTCCCCTTGCTGAAAGGGTCGTGTGCTCTGGCCGGGGCCTCATGTCATCCTTGAGAACCCTATGCTTGTTGACGTGAGCCTCTCTGTTGGCCTGACGCGGCACCCATCCTTGGTGCCCTAGCCTGAGAACAGCAGTCAGATATGCCCTGATGAATTTGTATATGCAACTGTCAAAAGTAATTTTACGTGCCGCCATGCCGCCGTGCTGTATTTGTCATTTCCCTTGGCTGCTGAATGCGTGACAATTATTCTATTTTTGCGTCACGTTCTTAATAGATTTAGAATGCTAGGATATTTTGCACTCCTATATAACAAAAAAACAACTACACTAGCCATGAGCCATCAGCTGATCGCCTGGACCAGCCGGTCAGCCGTTAATAAGCTAGAAATCAAGCTCGTGCTTAATTTTAATGGTGTTTAGCCGTCAATTTCAGTTTATTTTGGCCGTTTGTCCCGAAATCCTTAGCCGCTCAATGGAAGGATTTACCATGATTTGGATAAAATGAATAAGGTCCACGCGTGTGCATTCGAAGCACGCCTAGCCTTCGAGGGCTGCGCGCAGTAAGATGGATTCCCGCATTGGCTAATATATATATATATATATATATATATATATATATATATATATATATATATATACACTATTTATGCTACAAGTTAGGGGCCCGAATGCGAGGATTTTTTGGAGGTGGTCCCAAACTCCAAGGGGGCTCCACCTTACCCTTGTGGGACCAGCAGTAGTATTCCGTCACTTTAGCTCGTGATTTTGCCGTAAGAGTCATCCGCCATCCCTTAACTTGTACATTTATTTTTCGGACGTAGCTGACCTGGAAAGACGCCTGGATGGATGTCAGACACTTTGCATGCAGTTGCACAACCCTGACACGAATAGGCGGCGTCGGGATTAACCACTTGCTCCCTTTGTGCCAATCAACATACGACCCTGGCGTAATTTAAGGCTTCTTGCACTGACAGTTCGCATTGTTGCTGCAGCAGAAAGACGCGTTCATTCCGGCTGTGAAGCAGACTCTGTCCAGGGCGGCATGCGCACCATGCGTCAGTCTCACGCCTGCCTCCTAGCATTCTCGTGAATGAATGGAAACTGTTGAATGAAACCGTTGGCAAGCAGCGCACGGCGTAACGTCCCGCCTGCGGTGGCCTGGCCGGCTGAAAAATCCGGACCAACAGGATCAACATAGCTGAATGATCATGCCACTTTTGAAGGCTTTCAAAAGAGAACTTTGATCTTTGGAGTCTATTGAAGCACCGTGAGAATTAACACCCGAGTTAAATTACCTGTGGGAATTATTTTACTTGAAATTCTTGCTTCTTTGCTAACGTAAGTTACAGCGGGAGCAATATTATGTGGTTTGTTTTGTGTGACCAGTTCTTGAGCCTGACTGAGACATTGGTGTAGTATGTGTGGCGGTCCAGTGGCTGGTTTGTCAGGTACTAGTTATAAATTATTTTTAGATGACATTTTAGGTGCCTAAAAGGAATTTAAACACGAGCGGCGCCCGTATCGTCGCGGAGTATTTTGATGATGACGATCGGTGTGCCGTAGCGCACCGGCTGCTGGCGCGATTTTGCGCAAAATTATCGCTAAGTCCAGGGCACCGTAGCTATCAGTGTAAACCCTGAAGTTGTCGGCATTGACTTAAACGAACCTTTTCTGTAACCTCTGAGTGTGTTGAATGTGGGCAGTCTAGAATCTCGAAGCATCATTGCATTCTGTCGGAGACCGGTCCGCTCGCGTGCCCAAACACGTTGTCAGTTTGACTTGTGATTGGTTGCAGCTGTCACGGGATAGGCCGGACGCCCTCTCGCTACGATAGGGGGGGGGGGGGAGGGAGAAGGGTAGAAGAGGGGGCCTTATCCCCCCTCTGTTAGGTCTGTCCGGAATAATTTTTGAACGGTGTTGAGCACACTGCTGTAATTTTGGTCGACTGAGTTTACATCAGTTTGACGCCCGATGTGAAAATTTGAAGTTTCTGGCCATGACGGTTCATGTTTGTGACCTCTTTGGCGCGGTCATATCAGTGACATTTTCATCAAGAGCGAAAAACAACCCGCATTTCTCGCAGGAAGTGCACGCCAAAGTGGTTTCCTAGACCACCGTCTTTTCGTCACTGTACTGCTCTGAAGTGCATTACTACATAAATGTCGCTCTGGTGGCTAAGTCGAATTTTTGCAGGCGACGAGGTCAGGTCATCCAAGGTCAAGCTAGGTCGAGATTTGATTTTGGTCACCAGATTTGGCTACTGAAAGCTCCCACGAATTAAGCGTTAATGACGCATCTGTAAGTCCTCTACAGTATACCTAACTTTTGCAGATTTGAACATCATTGCATTCTGCACCCCAGACAGTTGCACTGTCAGGGTTGCAGGATGCACGCACCGACTGCGCTGCCTCGAAAGCTTGTGCTTAAATAACAAGAACGGTGTGATCAATATTTACGTACCTACTCCCGATTGTCCGCTTCTTTGAAGCAGTACAAAACCAAAACCAAAATCCAATGATAGGTTTTTGCAACAAAAACCTGTCATTGGAGTATCCGAACGCTATGCTCACAAAATGCAGGTCATGAAAGGGTCATGCGCTCAAACCTCCAGTTGTCAGTGCATGCTGAGATCGGGCCAGCCGTCCTCAGGACCGCAAACCCACCACAGCGGTGCGCCGCTCGGGCTGGCGCACTGCTGTGGTGGGTTTACGTGGCGGGTAGCAAGCGCTGTCACAGCGGGCTGGGACTGTGCTTGGCTCGCAGCCATGTCATTAAATGTGGAAGCCCGACCACACGTGAGCGGGGTAGATGTTGAGACTGCACGTTATATGTTGTCGGCTTAGGTAGGCTGAGCCGATGTTTACCGCTTGGCGGCCTGTTGAACTGATGACGACGACCTGGTGACCGGCTGGCGGCGGCCCGTCGAGCTGCTGGTGATCACCTGATGACCTGGCGGGCTGGTGTGTGTCGGCTGCCGCGCTGGTGCTGATGACCTGGCGCTCTGTCCGGTCCGGCGAGCTGGAGCGCCTGATGAGCCGCCACCGATCGCCCCCGGGCGTGACGGCCTGACCAGCTGACGCTAGTGCCCTGTCGCCCCAGTGTCGGGCGTAATGCTCCGGGCGCCGCGGAGGCTGCCCCGCCCCCCGTCACCGGCGCCCGGTGGGCTGGCCAACGGCGCCGTTTAACTAGTGATGGCGAGCTCTAAAGGTAACGAGCGGCTGGCGCAGCGCGTGCCGCCCTGCCGCCGGCCGTGCTGCCCGTTGCCACCCGCTGCCCAGACGCGCCCCTCGGGCGGGTGCTGCGAGGCATGACGTAGCAGGGCAAGGCGGGCCGGCAGCTCTGTGCGCAAGGTCGCTGCTGCGCTCAGATTTTGTTCTGCTGTGGTGTCGATAGTCAGGTTTTGTTGCGTTGCAGCATTGGTAGTCGGGTTTTGTTGCGTTGCAGCATTGGTAGTCAGGTTTTGATGCGTTGCAGCGTTGGTATTCAGGATTTGATGCGTTGCAGCGTTGGTAGTCAGTTTTTTATGCGTTGCAGCGATAGTAGTCCCTGACGTCCACCGGCGTATGCTATTTTTTTTCGCTGCTTCCGTGATGTAAAAAAGCCAAGAAGCAGACATCACAAACTCGTTAGGCTTCCATCCTCTTGGCGGGCATGTGAGGCTCGCGCCGGTGCATGGTACGCTGTAGCTTGCTTGATCGCTGCGATTTTGTACTCCGTCTCCATTTATCAACCCCTGTTTGTGATCTCCAGCGTACTGTGAACCAAATACCGCGAGCTTCCCTGCTCGCGCTGGACGCAGCCACTCCTGTTCCATCGACCTGCGGCCATGGTGCCCATGGTCCATGGATTCATGGACCTCAGTTCAGGGTGTTTGCATGTCGCCTCTCGGGAAGTGTAGAGCGGACTCGCGTGGCTTCCTCCACCCGTTGCGAGTGGTGGCTCCAACATGGTACCACCAAACTGTGTAACCTGATGGCCCCAGCATGGTTCCACCTGAGGCTGTGTTCGCATTGGTTCCAGCATGGTTCCACGGCCCGTCCAGCATGGTTCCACCTGGGCGTGTGCCCGCGTTGTTGTCGGCTTGGTTGGGCACACCCGTGTGCCCACGGCTGGTGGCCTCAGTGGCAGTGCTGCTGCGTCCCGCCCTTTTGGCTGACCCGCTCAGGGGTGGGTTCGGTCGGACGCGGGGGCAGGTCTCCCGTCGGTCCCGCTGCCGGGCTGGGGCGGGGCCGCACCATCACGCGGGTGTCCCGGCCTCCCGCCCCGGCACACCAGGGGATGTGGACATGCGCCACGAGGTCTGCTGGAGCCAAACCGCTGAGACGCTGCGCCCGTGTGGAGTACGACTGGTGCATTGCATTCGTATTGGTCGTCGTTATACACTCGCGTGTATTGCCGTTTTGACATTCGTTGTGTTGACGTCTTCGGTTGCGGCAGTAGGAGGCGCTGCGTTTGTCCGTATACCCTTCCATAAGTATATAACGGTGTCGTCAAAAAATTACCATGTGTACGTATTTGAGGCGATCTATACGGACCGGTCAGATATTGTGTTTATATAGTCTACAATCATAAGGTATATGGTGTGTGGACATGCGATTTAGGAAAATATAGTTTTATGCACAGTATGTAACAGCAATAGTTTCATTCTGGCATCCACCTCCAAAGTTGGAATGAGTGGCTTTGTTCCTGATCACGACACATGCAGCTTATGTTTGTATTCCGTGTACAGAAATCTTGCGTTTACGCTGCTCCTAGCGACGGGCAGTAAATGATTCACCGCATGACCGAAGGGGTGGGATGCGTGGAAAACAGTCAGATAAGACAGGAGACTTGATGCGCTGGCCTGTGGTCGCGCGATAGGCGACACTAATGCTTGCACCTGGCCTGTTCAGTGGTCCCAAACCTGAGCAGTGGATCTCGTGGTGTTAAGTATGTTTCTTCTTTTCTCAACGTTTAGCGGTTTTTCGCCGTGCACTGAACAGTTGTTATGACTTGTGATTAACCCGTAAACCTATGGATGTAAGGCCGTCTTGATCTCATCAAACCTGTTTACTGGATGTCACTTAGGAATGGAACTCAATGGATGTGAAAAAGCAGGCTTTACGTGAGAGCTCGTGACCAGCGACTTTGGCATCTGCCCAGCACGCTGGGCTGTCGTGTCTGTGAGGTAGCAGTGACTTCAATGTGGTGTTCAAAGCACACTGAACAGCTTAGGAAGGACGCAATTGCTGTGCGTCGATTGACTATCAAGTATTGGCCTTTTCAGTTGTTTTAGGTCCCATGAACTTCAACAACATGGTATAGTGTCATTTTCAGTTGATTATCTTCCTTTGAGGTGCATGCTTCGGGTCGCTTTACGGCTGGCCTTTCTCCTGATGTGTCTTGTCGGCCTGTGGCACGCGCAGGTGTACGGAGGTCCCCGTAAAGATCCGCCCCTTGTTTTGGAAGGGGGGGGGGACGCCGTCGGCCAGCGGTTATCTCTGTGAAGACTGACGAACGCCTGAGTGACTCCAGAACCACCCGCAGACCTGTGCCAGTTTCTTAGGATAGCTGTGCTATACTTAACTAAGCGCGCGACGTAACGAAGACCACTTCAAGGCACGAATCCGTCGCCGTCCCAAAGACTGACATCGTGCCGCTGGGGCCGTGCTGAGGAGCGCCGCCGCCCCACCGGCCCCGTCCCGAGTGTGACCGGCGGGGACCGGCGCTCCGCCGCTCGTGCGCCGCCCCACCGGACCTGTCCCGAGTGTGGCTGACGGGGACCGGCGCTCCGCCGTTCGTGCGCCGCCCCACCGGCCCTGTCCCGAGTGTGGCCGGCCGGGACCCGCGCTCCGTCGCTCGTGCGCCGCCCCACCAGCCCTGTCCCGAGTGTGGCCGGCCGGGACCCGCGCTCCGTCGCTCGTGCGCCGCCCCACCGGCCCTGTCCCAAGTGTGGCCGGCCGGGACCGGCGCTCCGCCTCTCGTGGGCCGTCCCACCGGCCCTGTCCCAAGTGTGAACGGCCGGGACCGGCGCTCCGCCGCTCGTGCGCCGCCCCACTGGCCCTGTCCCAAGTGTGACCGGCGGGGACCGGCGCTCCGCCGCTCGTGCGCCGCCCCACCGGCCCCGTCCCGAGTGTGGCCGGCCGGGACCGGCGCTCCGCCGCTCGTGGGCCGTCCCACCGGCCCTGTCCCGAGTGTGACCGGCGGGGACCGGCGCTCCGCCGCTCGTGCGCCGCCCGTCCGGCTGACCTTGCCGTCCGACGGCGCCGGACGACCGTCGGCGATAGGCCACGGCCGGTGTCGCCTCCCAGCTGATTGCCACAGCTGTTTGGCGTCGGCTCCCGGCCGCGCGTGCCGTGACCACCGGCTCACAGTCACGGTGGCCGGCGCGGCCGGTGGCGGGCACGTGACGCCGGCGGCGCCCGTTTACCACCACCACACACACTGGCGACGCACCGTACGCACAGGGGGCCGCGCGTGCCAACACTGTTAACGGCGGGACGGCCGAGCCGAAATGTGTAGAAATGGTCGCGTAGCAGGACGATGAAATGCCGACATTGTCTGAGCTACGTCGCCGGAATCTTCGTCATCGCGCAACACACCTCGCATGCTTTCAGTCGATGTGTGTAAGCATTGGCCTGTTTCGTTGCTAGCATATGTAGGACGAACTAGTGAGCTTTCGGCATCAACTATTCGTATACAGTTTCCAGCCATGCGGTGCTAGATAGATTGCATCACTTTGGGCGTCTCTGTCAGTAGCTTTATATCCGCTCCGTATGCATGCCTGATCATAATCACGTGCATTGAAGCGGACATTGTCTACGCAGCAACGGTGCAGCCTTTGTCAGGTCTGCAGTGAGTGACCGCGCCTATCGTGGCTGATAGCAGCTATCCCATTACGGACAGATATGTTTTGTCAGCTCTGGGCAGGCGTTCGGCGAGAAGTCAGCTCCGCGTATTTGGCCGGGAGGCCCCTCGATAGCGGCAGTCTCGGCGCTGTCGTGGCTGGGCTGTGCGGGGGCGACGCGTCGGTCCACGGCTCTCTCGGACCGGCGACGGAGCGGCGCTGGACGGGGCGGGCGCCGTGTTGGTGTGGCAGCGGTGTTCGCCGGACGGCCGTCAACATTGAGCGGCGTCCCTGGGCCGGCCGGCCGGCGGACGTGGGTGGTGCCTCCCTGACGCGGGTGGGCGGCCACCCCCTGGTCGGCGCCACTCAGTAACCCTGCCCGGTGCGGGGACGTGCGGTATTCCCGGCCAAGCGCCGCCTCGCTGCGACCGTCCTGTCCCGGCGGCGTGCCCTGCGCTGGTGCCCGCTGACCGGGGCCGCCGCGCCGCCTCTCGCGCCACGCCGGAGCGCTGGGCGGTTCCCGCTGACTAGGCGTCGTGCCGCGCAGACCTGCTGCGTGTGGGCCGCCGGCTGCAGCGCGGCTCACTCAGCCAGAGCAGCACCGACTCCGCCTGCCCGCCGGGCCCAGGTCAGGCGCCGCCGCCGCCGCCGCTCCCCGGCCGCCCTCGGCGCGGCGCCAGGCGGCCGCTGCGCCGCGTGCCGTGCGCCGCGTTTGCTTGGCTTGTGCTCTGCGTCTGACATTCTCGCTGCGCTTGTTCGTTCGCTCTTTTCTCTCTTTCTGTACGTGGATGTCTGTCGCTTGGGTGCTGTGTTGTACTGCCCTGGTGTTTCTGGATGCCTCGGTTCGCGTGACTTTGACGTCGTCTTGTCGCCAATTCCCGTTCAAGTTCTTCTGTGTCCAATGTCAAGGCGCAACGTGCGTCCTTTTCTATTTGCGTGGCATGTACGCTTCGATTTTATACCGTGCGTTTTGGCGTACGCACCAGTGACTTAGACATCAGGATATGAAATAAAATTGTATCATTCCCAGCGCATATGCTTACACAGTGCTGTTTGAGAATTGCATGACTTGCAGTTTTTCTAGGAAACTCACTACTTGGGTGTACATTTCTCTGGCGTCTGCAGCGTTGACTGTTACCACGCACATGATGGCAGTGGTGCCGGGGTAGTTTTGGCTCGATGATGTCATTAATCCACGGCCAAAAAATCATAGTGAAGGCACGGTTAAGGGCCCGTTGTTGACGTCCATGGAGTCCTGGCAGCCTACTGCAGCTCGTACACTTCACATTCAAACGGCCCCCAGCATGCCCACGCACCATCCCGGCGGTAAAGCGCGGCCGGACGAGCGCCGTCCGGTGGTAAAGCGCGGCTGGACGAACCTGTTCGGCGGTAAAGCGCGGCCGGACGAGCCCTTCCGGCGGTAAAACGCGGCCGGACGAGCGCCGTCCGGCAGGCAGCCAGTCCGGGCGCAGTGATCGTGAGCCCCTCAGAAGGCGGTTGGCCCTCACCGTAAGACACTCAGGATGTCACCACGTGCGCTCGCGTCTGCGAGGCGTGTGGTGCAACTCGGACGACTCGCCGCCGTATAGGCTGGACAAGCCTTGTAGCTCGACACGGCCCATTGGCGTGATGGTGGGCTGGTAGCGACGAGGATCATCTCGAGGACACTCCAGGGTTCGAGGCGTGATCGTTTTTGTATTTCAGCGGTCTCCCTTGCGGTCGGCCTCCGCAGCCACTATGTATGATGAACTGTTTTCCTAGGGAGACGTAGCGAGCACGTGTGTGGTTACCCTCACCGAGTAGCCCTGCTATGTGGCGTGGTTTTGCTGCGTTTGCCTATGTTTTTTTTTTTTTTTTTGCTGCATTTACCCTGACCAAATTTGATGGTTGCTGCACCACTAAGTCATGCTGCGCACTACTTCGTGTAATTCGCTCTGAATTGTGAAGAGCATCATTTGTAACTCCTGTTGTAATTCTTGCTTCCGGACGATCGCTACCCCTTCGTTTCTCCTGCGCATGCCTGACTCCCTGCGGGGCTCTTTTCCAATGGCGCCTTGCAATGTCATGTGAATTGCATATTTCGTCTTAACGCAAACGACTGTTAAGGTATTGCATCAATGTATCTTCGATCTTCTCTTACGTTTTCGAAGTGCACGATATTGTGTACTTGCGTTTTCGAAGTACACCATGTTCTGTACCGCTCGTTAAATGTGGGTTTTCCCTAGACTGCTGACTTAGAGACAATTTTCCTAAGCGGTGAAGCGAGCGGTACGTGCCCAAACTGACCCATGACAGGTCCGAGAACTAGTACTGCTGTCGCTGCGGATGGCACCTACTTCGTACGGAAGGAAGTGGCGGACCACAGAGCGAGGAGAAGAGCACGGGAAGATTGGTGCGGGCGCCACAGTTACCCCGCTTCAAAAATTATGCATATGACCCTGCAGCATGTGACTGTTTGCTTTTCGGAAACGGCGATGGCGGACTTCGCGGCGATCATTCCTGCGATGTCATGCTGCACGTATTTGCGCTATCGACAGCCGCGGCGGTGGCTGCCGATACTGAACCGTCGCGGTGCACCGTGACGTTGCATGATTCATGACGCGGTGCACGCCCCAGGCTGTTGGTCCAATATCTCACGCCGTAGGCGCGCAACGGTCAACTTATGCCCATTCCGTGCGAGGAATGCGAACAGTTGATGCCGCTAAGTTCCACGTTATATGTTCTGGTGCGATGCGGCCGGGGGGGGGGGGGGGGGGGGGGGCGTGGACTGCGGTCGCATGAGTCATCAGCGCGCCGCCAGTAAGTGCTAGGGCGTGATAGGCTTGCCTGATGATGGCGGTGATGTCTCACGCCCAAAGACCGTCGCGGCAGGTCGCGGCTGCTTGGCCGCGTACACGGCTGCTGACTAGATTCAGTTGTGAAGGGTGTCCACGTGTTTTGCAAGTGGGCACTAGCTCACGTTGCTGCAGATGAATTATTTAGATGTCTCTGAGTGGGTCCTTCATTTCGCAAGTGCTGGTGGCATTTGTGCCGAGAGAACAATTCCAAGGTTATGGTGTGGCAGAGCCGGCCATTTGTTTCTATAAGTGGGACCTCCGTCAGAGCACGTTTAATACCTCGCTGCTTTCATCCGGAGCCAGCTGGTTTCCAGACCAGCCAGCCAGAAGCCAGTGGACGGAACGTTGCAATGCACAGCGCTATGTCGTTGAAGAAGGGCTGGCCTCTCGAGCTCTGCGAGCGCTCGTTCTTTTGCCGCTCGTACCGGGCGCTGTTCCCGTATAATACGGCCTCGCTGCTCCCCAGGTAACGACACGGCGGCCAACGACTCGAGCGGCAGCGGCAAGGTCGGCGACCTCTCCACCAGCGCCTCCGGCACGCTGGTGCGTACTGCGCCCTTGTCCTTGTACACCGGCGTCCCGGCACGCTGGCACGCACCGTGCTCGGGTCTGCCAGCCATTTCCGACCGGGTTCCAGTGTTATCCTACAAGTGAGCCGCAACACCCTGGCGCATGCAGGCCAACCCCACTGATGGCGTGCAGTCGCGGGCAGCCGGATGCCATTTGAAAACAGCTGACGGCGCTGCCAATGTTGACACTCGACGCCAACGACTGTTTCTTGACGCTGGCGGCTCAAATGGCTCGGCACGCCACGTCGCCCCGCCATCTGTCTCCCGGCGGGGCTCGGCACGACCGGCGTCGTTCGGGGCTTTACGTCGCTCGGGGGTGCCGCCCGGTCCGAACGGCCGCCGGAACGACGCGCTCGGCCGACGGGAGGCCGGCCGGTCTAATGTTGTCGGCGCTGCCGGACCGCCCGCCACACAGAGACACCAGGGAGCCAGTGACACATCGTGGGCGACAACCCTCCCGTTCGGAGCGCCGGAAGGAGGGCTCAGCCGAGGAGGAGGAGGACATGGGGGGGGGGGGGGGACGGGCGCGCCGTTGGTGGGATTTTTGGAACTCGTGGCTCTCACTTCTCAAGCGGTACCACTGTTCAGTTACTCCCTGGAGGTTCCTGAGGCTCATTCTGGCCGGGATGCTATATCCTGGAGTGTGTCACTCGTTACAAATGGCTGGAAAACCCCGCGACTTCCCGCAGCTGCCCCCCCCCCCCCCCCGCCCTGCCCCCGGCGTCGCCGTCGTCCCTCGTTCTACGTCCGACCCTTCCCTGGTCGGCGGCCTCTGATCCGATGCCACGCTCGTCGGTGCCCGTCAGGTGTTAGTCCCTGGACTCGTGCACCGCTGGTCGTTCTGGTTGGCCACCGGCCGCTCGATTTTGGAGCAAGCTGTCACGACGTCTGTGGCGCTCCTTACATCGTACCTTCACCTTTCCACCTCTGGGGGATGCGGGGATTTGTTTACGTATCGCGCACGTGTTTTCGCGACGAAGAAACTTGTCTTTCTGCCTTTCTTCCGGGTGCTGGGGTCCGTGAGACGCAGGTGAAGATAGAGGCAGCACCTCCGCGAGGTGGAGGTGCTGATGACGTGTGTCGAATAGAATGCGATTTATGTGTGCACGCGATTCGTGTGTGTACAACTTACAGCGCGCTGCACACGCGGCAGTATTCAGTTTATTGACTGCATACTTGGGCAGCATTCAGTCCAGCGTTCTACCGCAGCGAAGGTTACATCCTCACTCAAACACAAACCTCAGCCGCACAACCGCAGAGCCTGCTCACAGCGCCTGTGCGGCCAGCCGTCGCCGCTGTAGGCCTCCCCGCCTCCCCGTGGAGCGTGCTGACAGCGCCCGAGCGGCCGGCCGACGCCGCTGAAGACCTCCCCGCCTCCCGCGTAGTGTCAACCAAGCACACGGGCCGCTGACGGGGTCAGCTATCGGCCCGGCGCGCTGTTGGTGCCCGCTGGTCCCATGGCCGGCTGTGTGCTCGCGCCGTGCGGCGGCGATAGCCGGCCCAGCCGCCGCGCGCGCCTCGCCGTCGCCGTCGGCGGCGGCGGCGGCGGCGGCGGCGGCGCGTGTCGGGCGCCGCCGCCGACGCCACTGCGTGGCCCGGTGCCGGCGGCCGCAGGTGTGGCCGCCGGCTGTCGGCGCGCCGTCGGTGCGATCGTCCGTTGAGCCGGGCCGGGCCGCGACGCCGGCATGAGTCTCTGCAAGATCAAGAGCCGCTCCTATGGGGGCTCGTCGCTGTTCACCAAGGTCTGTGCCGTGCACCGCGCCGTGCCTGCCGGCGCTGTGGCGCGCTGGCTTGCAGGACTTCTTGGACTAGGGATCGCGGTCATGGCTGACTGCCCGGTTGTCTCGTTGGACCACTGGCGCTGCAAAGTTTGAGAGTTATTCTGCTCATCATCTGTTGGCGTTTGCGGAAACGCAACCTTGCCGAACTGGAGGATATTAGAGAACCCTCTTAGACTGGGATATGAGATCGTCGTGGGCCATTCAACGTACAGCGCGAAGTTTCGACAAACCGGATGTAAGCCTTTTACAGCTGTGAATATTTGAAGACCATGTGTTCTGTGGGTCACGAGTGACGACTGTTTTTCATTGAAATGATGTGAAATTGTGAAATAGGGAATCTCGTTAGGTGGAGTCATGCAACGTAGCTTTGTCGTGGAAAATGTGTACTAAGGACTTGACGGAACTGATGTGTTGTTTTTATTATCACACTTCCTGAAGACACTCTGTAACATACCGATTCGGTCAGTCCATGCAAGAAAGTGCTTTATCAAATGCGTCAAATCTGAATCAAATCTCAACGGGAATGTTTTATCTCTCCTGCCGCGAAGTTCAACGCGCTACATGTCACGCTAAGCAGTATCTGAGGCGTTTTGACAAACGCCGCGCCGTGTTGTTTTGTTGCCGCATCGTTCTAAGCACGGTCTTGAATCCTCGGGCTTGCAGAGTGGTGATTATGCCCGCAGGGCTCATCTCGTATAGCTTAATTTGACGTCCCAAAGGTCATTCCTGCTGATACGACACTGTCGCTGTGGGACTCATTGTGTCAAGGGCTGTATAGAGGCAGTATCGCATCCCACATTGGTGTTGGACACGTAGCTTGAAGTAGAACAAGATTCCCTATCATTTATTTTACCCGTTAACCCGGTTTAACTCATCAAAGGTGTGTTTTTCTGATTTTCACTGACACTGGTCTGATGAACAAATCTGATACAGTTCTGCGTGACATACTTCATGTGCTCTTGGCTCGACTCTAGCGTGTTTAGTTTTCGGGACGGAACCTGTAAATGGGCTTGTGGGGTCTGCTCTGTGATGGCTTGGGTGAACTCAAGGCAACAATATGCAATGGCTGGCAGACTTGTTTGTATGGAGGTTTGGGGGATATAACGCGTACGGACGGAAGGGTCTTGAAAAAAAAAATATTGGGTAGGTTCTTCAAGAAATGACACGAAACAGCACTGTCTGTGCCGACGCTACCCCTGTCTTGTCGGTGTACAGCGAAAGTGGCGCGTCGAAAATGCTGTTTCAAAAGCGTTTTCGAAGAAAAAAATCGGGCATCCCCGCGCCCCGTGAGCAGTGAGCCCGCCGTTTCGCTGCAATTGCAGCGGAACTTCTGTCCTGGTGAACAGTGAATCCGCCGTCCTGTTAGCAGCGCTTATTTCTTTATCTGTTTTTAGACCGCAAACAATCCACAGGCGAAAAGCCAATTTCTGAAAATGTCCAACTTAAAGGGATGAGTATACCATACATACAGAAACTAAAGCCTAGTCCTTCACACATCTATACTTCACATAGTCACGCATACACATTACACACTCAGACACGACGGTGATATAAAAGAACGCTCCACGAGTACCGGCGAACCCGAACAAAACAGCTCGCGATGATTTCGTTGTCTGGAAAAAGACGGTTGAGGGAGAGAGCTGAAGAAGCTATTGCCGGCAATGGGTAGATATTGATCTTTCCACTTCAGTGATGTGTCCATTGACTCATCAGTGAGATCTGCCTGCTGTCGGGACAGCGATAAACCCTCTGTCCCGTTGGCACTGGCCGCGCCGTCCCGATGGCGGTGCGTGTCGTGTTGGCACCCCCCTGTAGAAGCAATGAACCGTCTGTCCCGTTGGTGCATACCCCTGTCCGGTTGGCTCCATGACCTGCTGTCCCGCCGGCAGTGCTGCCGCTGATCACTGTCCGGTGGGCCCCATGGCCTGCTGTCCCGCTGGCAGTGCTGCCGCTGATCACTGTCCGGTGGGCCCCATGACCTGCTGTCCCGCTGGCGGTGCTGCCGCTGATCACTGTCTGGTGGGCTCCATGACCTGCTGTCCCGCTGGCAGTGCTGCCGCTGATCACTGTCCGGTGGACCCCATGGCCTGCTGTCCCGCTGGCAGTGCTGCCGCTGATCATTGACCGTGTCAGTCCCGCCGCCGCAATCCCGCCATCAGGCGGCGCTCGCCATTCCGTCGGCAGGACACGCTGTCGTTACACGATGCGACGCTGCCGGCATCCGGTCATTCAGCCGGCAGCGCGGCGGCGGCTGCGTGACGTCACGGCCCGGATGGTGAAATATGCACACCAGCAGTCATGTGCGGGGTCGATTTGTCGGCCGGCCGGTCCAGCACGTCGGCCGTTAGTCGGGCTGCCAGCTCGGCCGGCCGGCTGCCGGCCGGTGGCGCGCGGTCGGCAGACCTCCGGTCGGACCGTCAAGTCCGCGGCAGCCTGGCCGCCCGCTTCTTCCGGCGAGGGCCGTGTGGACCGGCCACACTCGCGAACGGCCTCCGGACGGACGGCCGGCGCAGGCCGGCTCCCGCTGGAGATACCCAGTTGAACACAAACAGGCGCCGCCAAACCGACACACACACACACACACACGCACGCACACACACACGCACGCACGCACGCACGCACGCACGCACGCACGCACGCACGCACGCACGCACACACGCACGCACGCTGCGTGGTGTTTGGCTCCGCCCGCCGCAGCGCACGCTCCGTGCGAGCGGTCAGTGCGTCTCTGGGGGGAGGATGTCATCAGAGAAACGGCACGCTCCCCGGCCGAGGCCGCGGCTCTGTCGATTGGTGCGTCTCGCGGGGGGGGATGTCATCACCGGTGCGTCTCAGGGGGGGGGGGGGGGGCGCGTCATCAGCAAAACGGCGCGCTCCCCGGCCGCGGCCCGCGGCTCTATGTCAGCGGACACGGACGTGTGCACCACGGGAGGTCTGTTGTCCGCAGCGACGCTGGCGCTGGTTCAGCCGCGGCCGCCCTTTGAGGCTCAGCGGCTGGCTGGCCGTCTGTGGTGTGCGGCTGGCTCAACCGCTGCCTGGCAGGTGTGCAGGCGCTCTTGGAGGGGCACGAGGCTGCATGGAAAAAGCCCGTTGGGCACTCAGGCGTGATTCAGTCCATCGTCCTGGGAACGCGATGACTCAGCTGCTCGCGGGAACGGTACTGCCGGTATGGCTCATTTCATTAAGCGGGCCTCAGTCCGTCTCAGGACCGGGACCGCCGGGACGGGGCTCAGTCTGTCGCGGGACCGGTCGGGACCTCGGGCCGAGGGCTCAGTCCGTCGCGGGAGCGGTCGGGACCTCGGCCGGGACGTCGGGTCGCAGTAGCGCGTTTCAAGTGGGGCCGCCGCAGTGACCGCGGCTGTCGACGTACCCAAGTCCTCAGCTGTAGTTGAGCGGAGCGGCTGCGGGCGGGGCGGCGGTGCCGGTGACCTGGCGGGCAGCGCGATGGCGTTCGGATCCCTACCGACTGAGCTGCTGCCCTGCCGTGCTGCGGTTCAGCCCATGGCGCGGTCAGGGCGGAGGCGGCGGCCGCGTTCCGACGGTGTCGTCCCCAGGCGGCGGACTGATTGGCTGCGCGGCTCACTCCCATGGCAGGGGGTGGCCTCTGCCGGCCCCCACGGAAACTGATGGCCTTTGGCTTTGACCGCGGGCCGACCACTCTGCGCAACTCGTGACCTCTAAGCAGACCCGACAACAGCCCGTGACCTATTGATGGCCCCGCCTTGCGCCGCCGGCTCCGCGAGCACCGCCTCCCCAGCCACCCGTCGTTTCCGCCGCCGGTCCGACCGCTGGTCAGACCGCCGTCTCCCGGTCCGACCGCCGGTCAGACTGCCGTCTCCCGGTCCGGCCGCCGGTCAGACCGTCGTCTCCCGGTCCGACCGCCGGTCAGACCACCGTCTCCCGGTCGGACTGCCAACGGCGCCTAGCTGTAACAGCGGGCGTCGGTCACTGGGAGTGGACAGAGCTTGGGGTCCGCCCTGGCGGACCGGGGCTAGAGGCTCCGCCTGGTCGCGGTTGGCGCTGTCTCTTGGGTCCTCGCGTTTTGGCTGGAGCTGAACTGTGTGCAGCCGGCCGAAACAGATGGAGACGGTCGTAAGGTTCGAATCTGGCTCTGAGTTATTATAGTTACTCTGGCAAGGTATCACGGCTGCTCGTAAGGAAGTGCTCAAACGCACCCGGCCCAACGTTAGCCGTGCAGTGAGTTGTAGGCGTTGACATTTAATTTGTGTAGCACGAGCGGTATCCAGTTTACTCACCTGCTGACACTCGGGGGAGGGAGGGATGGGGGAGGGCGTAGCATGTCGTTTGCGCCCGTACCAGCTGTTCTGTGGTTTCAGGTGGTGTCACATACCGTTGGTGTGTGGCACCTGAAAATCTTTTACTTACGGCGCCATTAAACTGTGTTTTGCTTCGTTTTCCATCACACTCCGCGTCCCGCAGCGCGTTAATAAGGCAGCCAGGGTGTTGCGGTACCGCTGCCCTGTGGCGATATCATCGCACGGCCTGTGAGTGGCGCGTCGCCTTGCTCGAAAGCCGGCCTTGCGAACCGCGACCGCTGCTGACAGCTGCGGACAACACGGTGCAACCTGGGCGCTATCGGTCAACCTCGGTCGACGACGTTTCAGCGATTTCGCCGCCGATCAATGCGGGCTGGACTTTGAACTGATCGTGACGTCACGCGGAGGGGGTGGGCGGGCGGATATTTGATAGGGGCGGCGCCGCCCGGCCCGCCGGTCGGTGATCTCGCCCGGGCTGGGGTCAAGCGCCGGGCGCTCACGACATGCCACGGGAGTCCGGTGCCGGTCGCGCGGCGCTGGTGACCGCAGCGGCGTTCCGCCCGGACGCTCCCAGCTGCCACGTGCGGACAGACGTGCAGGACGCGGCCGGGTCGTCAGTGTGTGTGAGACTTTGAATGTGTTGCAACGAGCCGTGCAAAGGGATGATCGAACCGCGTGTGTCTCCCGGAGGCAGCTTCCCGGGCTAGCTATGAACGCCCGCCATACGACGGACGGGCGGCGGGTGGCTGGTGGACGGACATCGTCGGGCGATGATGTCCACGGCGGCATACTGCCGCTGCTGCCGGCAAGGGTGGCTCCTGGGGGAGGGGCGGTGCCCTCCTCCACTGCTCCTCCCTCCAGAGGAAGGGGCGGTAGGGTTCCGGAAACCCGCACCGACTCGTGAAAAACCAAGCCTAAAGAGTGAAAAGATCCGTGCTCGTGGTGTTGTGTGTGGAGGAGGGAGTGGTCCGTATTCTCACCGCATCGCATCCGGGTGCTGATCGTAGCTGCTGCGGAGGCCCGCGCCGGGCTCCTGGTGACCCGGCCTAGCAGCTTAGTCCTCCCACAGATAGAACCAGGATTGCAACCGTGATATCAGCGGTAGCCGGCTCGGTTCTGCGGAAATTGCAGAGGATCAGGAGCCTGGGGATTCAGGCTGCCAAGACGGCTTGTGGAAAACCCATGACCTTGGCCGATCCTGGTGGCGGGAACTTTATACTGGCTGGGATTATAGAGGATCCGGCACGGTGTTGAAATACCGGTCGCCAAAAAGACTTACCCTATTGGATTTGCCCGATATCGACCAATGTTGTTTGCTACTCAATCCGAGCTGTTGAGACGTCGGGTCACACGCTTGCTTTGTGACTGAAAGCGGAAACACCGCTGAGGCGGACGCCGTGCGGTCGGCGCTGTGTGTGCGCTGGTGTGTGCGCTTCGCTAGGTAGGCTCGCGGCCGGCCCGGCGGCGGCGGCGGCGGCGGCGGCGGCGGCGGCGTTGTGCCTACGTCGACACACTCAGACACACACAGGCGCACTGGTTGGGCGCATTGTCGCGGGAGTGGTGGGGTCCGCGCGAGACTTGGGTCACCAGAGGTCGTTGATGTCATCCGCCGTCCATCGCCGGAGTCAGTCGTGATATTGCCGAGTATGATGGCACCATGCCCTGTTGATTATGATGGCTGTTGTTCAACTGATTGTACTGCTGATGGCCTGCGCAGGCGCATCTACCCATAGCTTCATTCACACTCCTCACATGATTGTTCACATTCCCGCGCACCCTTCTGCTGACATTCCTGTCCAGGCCTTAGCTTATGCTCCTCCCCCTGCCCGTTCATGCTCCTGCCCACGCTGTTACGTACACTTTTGCTTATGATTTGCTTGTTCTACTGCCTACGCCTTGGCTCGCATTATTGTTTTCGGTATTATTCACCGCCACTCATATTCACACCCATCTTCAACACCCTTGTCCACTCTGCTGCCGTCACACCTCCCACGTCCCATCCCTCCGCTGTGTCTAAGGAGCGCGATGCCTTGCTCGTCACCGTGCCCGCGCTACAGCAGCGACCCCTACCGACCGGTGACCTCTGACTGTCGCCTGCCGCAGGCGGCGCCGCAGCCGCTGACCCGGAAGGAGTCGTACAAGGACCAACGGCGGCGCTACCGGCACGAGAAGCGCCGCGCCGCGGACGAGCTGCTGAACACAGTGCGTGACCCTGCCGTGCTGGTGCGGGCCGACTGGCTCAAGGTGCGGGGCACGCTCAAGAGCTGGACCAAGCTCTGGTGCGTGCTAAAGCCCGGCCTGCTCGTCCTCTACAAGAGCGAGAAGGCCAAGGTGAGTGCCTGCGGCGGGAGGCTGGAGGCGGGCGTGCCGCGGGTGCCGCCCGGGGGGGGGGGCGGCTGTGCGCCAGCCTCCGCGGGAGAGACCGAGACGCGGACGGACGCGCTCCGTCGGCCCGCCTTGATTGACAAGGTGCCCCGCTGTTGGCGGCGATGCGGCCGCGGCGAGCCGGCCGGTCGGGCCGCCGTCGGTGGAGAACGGTACGGTCACTGCTAACCGGCGGGGCGGCCTGGCCGCGGCGGCTCAGACCCAGCGCCGGTGGCGCGTCGCTGACCGGCCGCCGCCGCAGCCGCCGGCCGGGATTAAACGTAATCGCCCGCGCCGGGCTCAGCGGCCCGCCCGTTCAGATCGATCTGCTCACCAGATTGGGTCTAATGAATCGACTGCCGGCAGTCGTGGGCCCGCCCCGAACCCGGACGTCGCCGCCGGCCGGACCCCGGCGCCGGCGGCGGTCCGCCCCCGCCCGCCCCCGGTGACTGCTGGGGCCGACTGCGGCGGAGCTTGCGGCGCCCGGCCGCCGCCGCGTCTGGGACAGTCACATCGATCCCCAGGGCCCGCCGGCCGGCCCGGTCCGACGGCGCGAGCGGCCGCCGCGACACGCTCGAGAGGCTGCCGACGCTGCTGGAACGGACGCAGCGCTGACGTCGGCGGAACAATGTGGCGCTGGCGAGTGGCAATATGGGGACGCGTCGCGACCAGTGCCGTGCTGAGATGGCGAATGTGCCAACATTCAGACGCGGCTGACTCCGGCAAAAACGGAGAAATTACTCCTGAAATGGTCTTGTTCGCGCAGCTTCTGCTGGTCGCGGCAGACACGGATGCATTGTCGACAGAAAGCCGCTGCTGCCACGCAGGTGGTGGACGTCGTAGACGCGGAGACACTGCTCGCTCTGAGAACAGCGTGCACAGAGACTACTGTGCACGTTATGCGGCTTTCCTCTTACGTCCAGCTCTGAGTGTCCGCGGCAAATGTTTGGCTTCTTTGAGTATCCAGCTCTGGCTCGTCCCGTCGCCAGAAAGCTGCGAGGCCTCGTTAGGAATATTGTTTAGGTTGTCATGCACTGTATTGAGCGCAAAACATTCTGCGAGTCGCTGTAGAGACAATTTCCTAGCGTTTGTGATGATCAGACGACGAACGGAACCAGCGACTGGACAGTAGAGATACCGGGTACGGCCTCTGATCCGACACGGGACGGCTCGGGTCGCTTCGAGCGCCCCGCACGGGAGGCGGTAGTCACCAGTGCTCCATGCAAACGCCGGACGACCACGCGCAGTCCGCGGCGTTTTCGGTGAAAAGATCGCATTAGCCGTGACGATTCCACGCGTCGCGCACGGTGCTGCGCTGGAGAACAGGCACCAGAGGGAGCCAAGTCTGGGCGGCTGACGCAGACGTTCGTGCTTAACTTGCGGTTGGGGCGGTGTGTCGCCGTGTTCGCATCCAGCCGGGAATCAGTGACGCCATTTCGATGACGGTTTTGGGTACTTGCAAATTACATTTGTTCTGAATAGGCTTCAGCATGCTTGTGTTCTAGCAGGGCCTCCTGTTTCCGGTGGAGCATGCGTCGTTGTCACGAGTCAAATGTTGAGAGATGGCGTGTGGTCCTGACTTAAAAAAACAGCGCCTGAACTAAACGATATCATCAAGCAAAGAGCGGTTACATTATCAGTACTCGATGCGGCGATCTGTGTTAATGATCACGAGTAATAACCAGGCGTAATATCTCGATAGCCTTCAAAGGACTGTCATTGGTAGCGATTTTGCTGCTGCCGATGACGTGATGATGACGTGCGCTGGCCCTCGACGCGCCCACTCGGTCAACACACTCCTGCTGACGGGGTCGCTTTATCGCGCGTCATCCGGACGTCATCACCCACCGGCTCGACGGGATCCGGTCGTGATCGTGACTTGTGTCGGCCCGTGGGCGACGTGTGTCGGCCCGCGTGTGCCGTGTGTCGGCCCGTGTGTGATGTATGTCGGTCCGCGTGTGCCGTGTGTGCCATGTATCGGCCCGCAGCAGTGGCGGTGCTGTCCTGCCGTGTCCCGCCGCTGATGAGCCCGACACGCCCACAGAACAGCCACTGGGTAGGCACGATCCTGCTTGCCAGCTGTCACCTGATCGAGCGGCCCAGCAAGAAGGATGGCTTCTGCTTCAAGCTGTACCACCCGCTGGAGCAGAGTATCTGGTCCACCAAAGGCCCGGACGGCGAGAGCATCGGTAACTGTGGGCGGAGGGGGGGGGGGGGGGGGCGGCGGTGCTGTACGGCAAGCACCCCTCCATGTATGATCCAGGATACCAGCCGATCAAAGCCGCCGACTGAGGTCATACGCATCAGGTTCGGCAGTTCAGACTCAAGTTAAGTCATTCAGTTGGTATGTGAATAAAGGATTAAAGGCTAAGTTACGATTGGATAAACCATGGCCATGGGTATCGATTTCTGAAAATGATTGAGGGGGGTTAGATTCGGGGAAGTCGTCATAAGGGAACACGACCAAAACTTCTCGGATTTCGTGCCTAATCTTCTGGTATTAGTTTATATATGTATATATATATATATATATATATATATATATATAATGCTTCCTTATATTTTTAAAGGTAATGTGCGGAGCCACAGCAGTCATGTCTGGAAGCCTCGTAGATTGCATCCGCTTTTCATAAAGGTACCTGTTTTGTGAATGTAAAGGGATGCAGTTGCAGCTCTCTCGCATGCTGACAAATTAAATTGGTGTATGATTTACCATGATGCGCTTAGGATTGCTTTCATTTATTTATCCGTTCACAAGAATCTGTCCAGTGTTCACAATGTATGTGGCTATCATAACCCATCCATACGTAGGTTCACAATGCTCCAAAATTGTATCGATGAAACATTTGCGTTTTAGTGAATATCATTGTTAACGAATTCGTGTGAACTACCATTGATGTTCATTCCTCGTATACGTTAAGAACATGGTTTTCAACCTTTCCGCAAATACGTCTATGCAGATGTCATCCTGTTGAAAATCCACTTTCCCCGCTCTTTTCAACAAGCACGAAATGCAGGCCAGTTATACGTCTGGGGGACACAGCTCCAAGCTGTTGTTCCTCTGAGGGAAAAGCGACTCTCACCCGCTTCACTTCGAGCGTGTGAAAAACCAAACATCCGTCATATCAATGCCATGCAGAATGCACGTTGATTGTAACAGTTAGTTGTTAGTTGAGCTGGCTTTCCAGTTACCATGCGGTGATACTTAGAAAAAATCGGTGCTCAATGAGCGTACCGAGGCAGGAACGCAGCCAGAGTCTTGGTAATTGTGGGATGAGACACAGGGTTTACCAAGCCCTCCCCCTGGGGTAAGGCCCCCACCCAAAAAGGAAGTCATCGGATATGGCCCACTGAATTTCGAGGGGAGCCTGCCCTTCTTAAAAGTCAGGCGTCACCTGTTTTTTAATTCGATTAACTGAAGGAAACACACCGGTGTCATTCATTTGAAATCGCTCAGTGGACTCTTTCTAACCCGATAGCACTCAGGTGTAGCACGCCTAAAAATGCTTAGCCTTGTCCAGCACCAAGTAGGGAAGAATTACATCTCTCGGTTTTGGCCGCGCGTGCTCGCAAGTCTTACAGTAAAAACCCCCACCCGACGTTGCAGTCTCCGTGGGCCGTGCCGTATCGGTCCCGGGTATAACACCAGGCTGTGGCCAACGGGCGGACGAAAACAATAACGTTTCCCGAATGAGATACATTTGAACGCTTTAGAGTGTCAATTAGAACGCATGGAAGGTATTCCGTGAGTATGTTTCATCTGCGCAATTCGCAGATTTGTAGTATTTTCGGATTACCATTCAAGATATCGCAAAACCGTTGCAGGAATTTGATGGTAAAACTAGACAAGTAAAGGTATAATTCATATTTTCGTGTTGCTTTCGCTGTTTGCTCGACCCCACTGTCAAGGCTCGCTGTTGCTCCCGCTGTTGCTTACACTGTGGTCCCCCGACTGACGCAGGAGTCAAATCGACTTAAGGGCCCGACCAATGTAAATAGCGGTTCTCGGCCCTGTCATTGCTTAGAAAATGGGCTCGAAGTCCCAGATCTGACCCTGGGATATAATCTGGTAACGAATCTTTCGCGTGTCACGGTCGTTAAGACTCGAACATAGTAGCGAGTTTTGCAAAATAGGATTGGTGAGGACGGGAAGGAAAAAGACTAGTGGCATATACACATAGGTTCCCTCCCGGACTTAAACCAATGTCCTCTCAGTGACGTTATGGACTTTGTTTGGTATCAGTCGTTGAAACCAGGTCTAGGTAATGGAGGTAGAGTCGATGATATGTGGCTTTAGGGGGTCGTTGGACGTGTGCGGCTTCGGGAGCAAAGAGTGTGGGTTGATTTGTGCGACTACTGATGTTTTCCATGGAAATCTCGGCTGATTGCCGCGAGGCGGAGTGCAGGTGTATGACTCCCATTAGACGTGTTCGACGGGGTCATGGTCGGACATGGTTCGACGGGGTCTTGGCGGTCATGGTCGGGCAATTATCGCTATCGCTTTAGTCGGCCGGTGAGCAAGGATAAGCGGACGGGAAACAGCTTTGCTCCAGCAGAGGGTCAGGAAGTGGTTGGTAATAATGGAAACGCGTTCATTGCGACGGCGGCCCCGTCCCAAGCGGACGCGCCGCCTGCGGCTGCGAACGGAGCGTGAGATGGGAACAGGACGGGGACTGAAACAGCGGACACCACCGTCGGCGTGCTCTGGTGCTGCCGCCTGCGACAGCGGCGAGGCGAGCTTGTTCTGAAGCGGTCAGGGTGTGACATGTCGTCGGCCCACGACGCCACCACACATCGCGGCCGGGATGAGCCCGTGCCGCGCGGACCAGGAGGCGCGCCGCCGCCGCAGAGTAGGCTGGAGCGCGCGGCGTGGCCGACACGCGCCGGGCGCGGTCCTTGCGGGCGCCGCGGGATCGTTACAGCGTCTGGCGTCTGTCAGTCAGCCGCGGTCAGGGTGTTTGTTTCACCGAAGTACTCAAGCTCTTCCATTAGGGCCATTTACGTGATGACGTACTCGTGATACCCCCGTACGTTTTCGTCCCCACGTTAATTATGAATGGAGATTCCAAGGCGGTCCCTCGTCGTCCAGCCACTGCATAGTTGATGAGCTGTGGCCGATAAGCCCCGCGCCTTGGGGAAGCGTAGTTGATGAGTTGCGCCTTGATATATTATTACATGTTACATAAGCGGATGGGTTTGCGAAATGTCAAATCTGTATACATGGTCTCTGTTGGTAAATTGGCTTGCGTGCTTCCTTTTTGTCCTATTTTTTGGCACCTGTGCGAGAATAATTCGTTGTCGCCAATGCCATAAGGCCTGAGGGTCGCATGCCGCGCAGCTCATATCATTCTGGGCGACACGACAATGGAGACTGGGCTTTTCTTTCAAACGTTCGGTGTAGGACGGTGCGGGAGGAATTTTTATCGTAAATATTAAGATTACTTGTGGCATGAGTGTGGCAAGCACAGGCTTCCACAATCCAATCGACGAGCGCCCCTCGCCATGTGACCCCACGCCGGCCCAGCCAGCGGGCCGCCGCTGCCCGTCCGCTGACGCTTCTGCCGGGGCCGGGCCAGGTGCGGTGGTGCAGCCGCTGCCGACGGCGCACCTCATCTTCCGCGCCGCCACCCAGAGCTCGGGCAAGTGCTGGATGGACGCGCTCGAGCTCAGCATGGCTTGCTCGTCGCTGCTGAAGCGGTCCATGAACGCCGACGGCGGCCGCTCCTGGGCAGAGTCGGAGCCAGAGGGCGGCGACCTGGGTAGGTCAGGCGGCCGGCGGGCAGAGGGAGCGCCAGGAGGGTCTGTGTCTGTGGCCTGGGGTGTCTGTGGTCTGGGTAGGTCAGGCGGCCGGCGGGCAGAGGGAGCGCCAGGAGGGTCTGTGTCTGTGGCCTGGGCTGTCTGTGGTCTGGGTAGGTCAGGCGGCCGGCGGGCAGAGGGAGCGCCAGGAGGGTCTGTGTCTGTGGCCTGGGGTGTCTGTGGTCTGGGTAGGTCACGCGGCCGGCGGGAAGAGGGGAAGCGACGGGAGGGTCTGTGTCTGTGACCTGGGGTGTCTGTGGTCTGGGTAGGTCACGCGGCCGGCGGGAAGAGAGGAAGCAACGGGAGGGTCTGTGTCTGTGACTTGGGGTGTCTGTGGTCTGGGTAGGTCAAGCGGCCGGCGGGGAGAGAGGAGGCGACGGGAGGGTCTGTGTCTGTGACTTGGGTAGGTCGGCAGCCGGCAGGCAGTGGCTGGGGATAATTGATGGGTGTGAATCTGTGGGACCGCGACTGGTTGGTTTCGCCCGTGCTTGTGCGAGACATGACTGCATTGCGGGAAGGAGGCAGTCAGCCGTGTCGCTGACAGATTATGTGTGGCGGTAGGCGACGCTGCGACAGAGATGTGACACGAGCCGCTGATTGCCGACGTACAGCACCGCGGCACCGGAAGCTGACGTCGAGTTCTCAACGGACCGAACTGTGTTGCTCGCAGATTTCGTCGCCTTGTCCGACATACGGTATTATGTCGCCGGTAGCTTCTGACATCCGACAACTGACATGACCATGGCGCCGTGTTTCTGACATGAGTGCCGTGCCGCCGTCGTCTGACGCCGTGTCTCCGGCAGACGACAGCCGGGTGGTGACGCCGGTGGAGGACGGCCACACCGCCGGCGACGACTCCTCGGACGACGGCTCGCCGCTGGACGACGAGGACGCCGCCGCCGACCAGACCGAGCCCGTCTCGGCCGTGGAGACCGTCTACGTCGAGAACGTGGAGGTGCTCGATCCGGTACGTGCCAGAGCAGGTGCTGCTGCTGCTGCTCCTCTTTCAGTGGAAGATAACACGAAGCCAGCTGGCCATGTTCAGTGGCCACGGTGCCAATATGCCTTCGCCATGAGGTGTTCGGGCGTTCACTACTTTATTGCATCGTACTCGGCTCTCATCACCGAACGACCGACTATTTGTATCGGCCGTGTCGGCCTTGTCGGCCACCGAACGGAAGACAAAGAGGGCAATGCTCCTTTTGGGATATCATCGCTGTCTCCCGCCGGTTCATCCCGGCAGCCACATATCCCGGACGCTCATTGGTATTGGCGTGGCTGCCGGTAGCCTGAGCCGCGCTGGCGGCTGGCGGCCGTGCGAGGCGCGGCCGCGGCCAGCCTCTGCTCGCGTTCGTCGCCGAGCGGCGCTGGTGCCGTGCCGGATGGCCGCGGTGGCTGAGCCCGTCAGGGCAGCCCGTGCTGTGTTGCCAGCCGGCGGAGGGCGCTGCCGGGCCGCGCGTTCGGCCCGTGCCGCGTCTGGTGCGGGGTTAGTTCGTCAGAGCAGCCCGTGCTGCGTTGCCAGCCGGCTGGGGGCGCTGCCGTGCCGCGCGCTCGGCCCGCCCGTGCCGTGTCTGTCCGCCGGCCGGCCGGCCCGCCGGCCGACTGACCTCAGACGGCTCCCCCCAGGAGCTGCTGGGCGGTGGAGGCCAGACCGAGGAGCTGGCCGATGAGAACAAGAACCTGCTGTGGTACCTGCTGAAGCAGCTGCGGCCCGGCATGGACCTGAGCAAGGTGGTGCTGCCCACCTTCATCTTGGAGCCGCGCTCGTTTCTGGACAAGCTGAGCGACTACTACTACCACGCAGACTACCTCAGCAGGTGTGTGGTGCGCCGCCGGCTCAGCTCTGGCTGCCTCAGCCGGTGGACAGCCAGTGTGAGGACGGACGGGGGTCAGTGGGACGCTTCAGGCGCGTTCGTCAGCTTTGGCCTAGTGCTCCGGCTGTCCAGGACGACTCTGAGGCTGTGCCAGGGGACAGAGAAGTACGTGCTTTTCGAAGCCTGCGTCTCTGGGTCGGGTGCTCTGCTGTGTTGCGTGTTGCTAACGCGGTCTGGTGTTAACGTGGTGTGGTATTAACGAAGTCGTAATGGCTGTTTAACATGACCCTGGTTGGAGGCCACAACCAAACTCTTTAGACGCCGATGTTCCTTTGTACACGTCCGATTTGACGGTCCGCTATGGTTTGTGTGGTTTCCGACGGTCGCCCGACCTGCCCTGACTTGAGCGGACCTTACCTGACCCGACCTGACCGCAGGGCCATCCACGTGGACGACCCATTCCTGCGAATGCGTGAGATCGTCGGCTGGTATCTCTCCGGCTTCTACAAGAAGCCCAAGGGACTGAAGAAGCCGTACAACCCAATACTGGGCGAGACGTTTCGCTGCTACTGGCAGCATCCAAACGGCTCACGCACATTCTACATCGCCGAACAGGTGGGCCGGCGACGGGACCGGCCGGAGGTGGCGTGCTGACGGCTGTCGACGTGTGCGACTGGCTGAGCTGGTGCTGTGGGGGCCGCCATGTCAATAATCATGTCGTGGCATCGTTTCATTTCGCCGCCACTCCGGCGAAATGAGACAGTGCTTCGACGGATTTGCAGTTGACCGTCGTCCTCACATTTTTGGACCGCTCTCTTCACCGCCGCGCGCTCTGAACGTTCCGGCTCGGTTTGCAGGTCTCTCACCACCCGCCGATATCAGCGTTCTATGTGTCCAACCGGAAGGACGGCTTCTGCATCAGCAGCACCATCTTGGCCAAGTCCAAGTTCTACGGTAAGAAGACCCTTCGTGTGATGATGTGTGGTGGCAAGGCTATTTCGTGCGTGTCTTCGATACGCCGTCTCGTCCGCCCTTCCGCTTACCCCGGCGAACCCGGCTGCCTCCATGGCCCGTAGTCGTGCTGTAATCCAATATCAGTCTCCCGTTCTAGTCTTCTCGCGGGGTTTGACCTTGCTCCTCCCGCCGGTCACGTGTCCACCTTTGTGTTCGGGCCCGACCCGGGTCCGATATGGGAGAGAAGCTCGCACGTTAGACCACAAGTGACCAAGAGGTCGAGAGCTGCCTGGCCGTGGACAGCGGGTGACAGTGCCCCGGCGCCGACGCGTGCCTCCTCTTCCTCCCCCCCCCCCCCCCCGCTCCAGTCAGCACCAGGTCTGAGGACGGGGGTAAGCTCCGGCTGCTGCCACTGCCGTGGCGGAGTCGGTCCGTGACTGTGCGCCGCCAGTGACGACTCCGGAGGTCTGCTCCAGTGACGGAGCCGCAGGGTCAGTCTGTGACTGTGCCGCCAGTGACGGCTCCGGAGGTCTGCTCCACTGACGGAGCCGCAGGGTCAGTCCGTGACCGTGCCGCCAGTGACGGCTCCGGAGGTCTGCTTCAGTGGCGGGGCCGCGGGGTCGGTCCGTGACTGCGCCGCCGGCGGCAGGCGTCCGGTCCGGCTCGCAGCGACGGCTGGTGTCCGTGTCCGGCAGGTAACTCGACGTCGGCCATCCTGGAGGGCACGGCCACGCTGACGCTGCTGCCGCGCGGCGAGGCCTACCACGTCACCATGCCGTACGCCCATTGCAAGGGCATCCTGATCGGCACCCTCTCCATGGAGCTGGGCGGCAAGGTCACCATCGAGTGCGAGAAGACCGGCTACAACACCGAGCTCGAGTTCAAGCTCAAGGTGATCTTGCCCCCGAGCAGAGCGGCTAGGGAAGGGCGGTGGACAAAGGTGGCCGCGAACGGGGTGGCATGAGCAGCAGGAGGGGTCCAGGCCACGCGGGAGCGTGTCATAAACATTTGAGTCGCGGACATGCGTGGCCCATCATGTGCTCTGCGTTATGTGTGGGCGTAGCATGTGATGGTGCTATGTTCTATGAAATGTAATCAGCTAACTTCTGTTTGTTGCCCGTCTTCTGGTGCTTCCGACTGCATCAGCTAACTTCTGTTTGTTGCCCGTCTTCTGGTGCTTCCGACTGCATCAGCTAACTTCTGTTTGTTGCCCGTCTTCTGGTGCTTCCGACTGCCGTCGTTTTGACAGCGCCACTCGGGAGCTGTGTCATGCGAGGTGTGACACAGCCGGTGTGACACAGGTGTGACACATGCTGCCAGCGATGGCAGCATGATGAATGCTTGACTTGACATAGCCTGACTTAACTTAACTTGGCTTAATATTCCCACGTTTACTTATAATTACTTTCCCATTGCTACCCTTAAATTTGTTTTAGCAATCCACACAGCAAGTTCCAGACCAGGGAGGGTACATTGCCAGTGTTTCTCGCGTCCACTGAAAGGGCCCCTCCCGCGTGAAGCCACACATCCGTCACGTGCGCCGTGTCGGTCGGCCGAGCTGCCCGGGCGCTGACGTCGGCGTGTGCCGCCCCGGCAGCCGATGTGGTCGGGCCCAGACGACTGTAACCGGGTGGCGGGCAAGGTGCGGCTGGGCCGGGAGACGCTGGCTACCATCGACGGCAAGTGGGACGGCCAGGTGTTCTTCACCGACAAACGCACGGGCGTGAGTAACGACGCCCCAATGATGGCCGGCGCCGGCGCTCCGTCCACCTTTTCATATCGAGTTCATCCGTCTGATGTGGTTTTACTGGTAATTTGCTATGTGGATTTCCTATCGTTGTTGTTTAAAAATCGGTTTAAAATGGTACTTACCCACTAATTTAGGCTATCGACTACAGCGTGCGAGGAAAATACGAATAGGCTGGCAGAGAACGTTGAGACCCCATCGCACAAACGACGCGTGCACCAGCGAAACTGCAGGAACGCGCTGGGTCACGCTTGGTGTGTCTGCACTTAAGGTCATAAGGCAGGACAAGCCTCGGCAATGGCGACAAGAGATTTACAAGGCTCCTTGTTATGGTGGAGTGACGTGATGATATAAGAGCGTGGTGCTCCCCGTCGGCAGAAGCGGGAGACCCTGTGGAACCCGACGCCAGACGTGTGCCGCCAGCGGCTGAAGCGCTTCACAGTGCCCATGGAGGCGCAGGGCGAGTGGGAGTCGGAGCGACTCTGGGCCAAGGTCTCCAAGGAGATCCTCAGAGATGATCAGGTGGGACTGTGGGCCGAGGTCTCCCAGGAGATCCTCAGAGATGATCAGGTGGGATTCTGGGCCAAGTTCTCCCAGGATATTTTTTGGATAATCAGATGGGACTCTGAGCCAAAGTCTCTCAGAAGATCCTCGTGGATGACTAGGTGCGACTCTGGGCTAAGGTTTCCCAGGAGATCATCAGGGATGATCAGGCAGGACTCCAGAGAGACCCTGAGAGATGGCCAGATGAGAGTCGTGGCCAGGGTCTCCGGGAAGACCCTCAGATAGATCAGGTTGGAATCGGGCGACTAGCGTGGAGTGTAATGGGAGGTCGTCAGGGACGTCCGTCCAACAGCCGGAGAATACCAGTACTGTCCCGGAAAATCCTCACTGACGACCCAGTAATACTGCTCACGAGCAGATCGATATGGCGTGTCGTAAAACCGCAGGCGCGCCTCTGAAGGCGCACGCGGTCACTGATGAGCAGTCGCTACTCTGTCCAAGTGATGCGTGCATGCTCCCATACTGCTGATACTGGGATCAGCACCATTACCGCAGGCTGGTCGTGAGCGTACAATACCACGTGGTCTGACCCGGCGCCTGGCTGGGCCGGCAGGAGGCGGCCACGCAGGAGAAGTTTGTGCTCGAGGAGGCGCAGAGAGCGGGCGCCAAGGAGCGCAAAGCCACCGGCAGCGAGTGGGTCACGAAAAACTTCGCCCAGGTGAGGTCAGGCCGGAGAGTCGCTGCACGGCGGAGACACTGCGCGGAGTGGTCTGTTGAGGCCGGTTCTTGCTGTGGTGGTTTGGCTCGGCGTTTGTGTTTGTTTGAGTTTGAGTCCTGTGACGTCATGTGTACTGGTGAGGTCGCTCAGCGATCGTGTCAAAACAAGTTCTCGTCAGACCGTGGCTGGTGGCGGCGCATGGGCTGGTTCCGAGTGGGGAACCTTGCAGTCCTCCGCGCCGAACAAATCACAAACGGTGGGTTGCGACTCGGTGCGGCTCGACGAGAGCCGCCAACGGTCCGACGAATCGATGGCCGCCGGTTCGGCTTAATTTGAACTCGACCAAAATACCAACACCACTCTCACAGATGTAGAGCGGTTGTACACATGTGAAGGATTGCGACAAATGTGTTGCAGGGAGCGGGTGTACACATGATACGCGTTTGCCGACATTTGTGCTGTCATTCAGCGGAAGATCCCACGGGACTTTGCTGAAGCTCACGAGGCTTGTCAAGCTAGCCTTCGTTTGATTCAGTGGCCGTGTTGGCGTCTCCCTGGCAGTGCCGGCTCGCCCCGCCGCTAATCAGCGGCTCCGGAGACCTATGGGCTGCACCCCCCCCCCCCCCGTGACCGCCCGTGCCGCCGTCGTTCGCGGTCCGACCGCCACGGCCTCTGTGGCAGGACTGCCTGACGGGCGAGTACCTGTACCGGTACGCCGACCTGCGCCCCTGGGACCCGCACACGGACCAGCACCAGTACGAGGCCGAGTACCAGGTGCTGACGCGCACGCGCGTGCGCGCGCCCATGCTGCGCACGGCCAGCATTCTCAGCGTGGAGGCCAACCTGCGCAAGGTATGTCCGCGGGGGCGGCGCCGTGTCTCGGGGGCTGGCGGATGGGCTTGTGATCAATGGGACGCGGGTTCGAGTCTCGCCGGTTGTGTTTCGGCTGCCCCGCCTCGTCGCCATGAGAGGCGGCACGCCAGCGGCCGCGGTGGTCACATCCGCCGTAACTGGAAGTTTGCTTCACGTCGGGCCACGGTGATGATATGGGGCTGGGGGACGGCGAGGGCTCGCTTCGGCGCCACTGTCTGACTGGTGGCGGCGCTGCAGCTCTTGTGCAGGCGAACCTGCCCCGGCTCTGGCGCGGCTCGTGAACTGCGCTGTTCTGCTCCGTTTCGGCGGCGGGACGCTGAGTTTCATCGCCTGTGCGTAGGAGCGATGTATGTCATCTCCATGGGGTGAACTGCGTCACGCCTCGTTACCTCCGCCGGACCCAACAGGAAGTGGTTGTATGTTGTTTCCGTCGTGAGAGAAGGCCGTCTGAATTTGGCGGGAGGGCGTGTGGCATCAAATCGCCTCGCCGTGCTGCCCGGCCCGCCGTCAGCGGCTTGTCTGTCGGACAGGCGGATGGTGGCAGCCGTTAGAAAGGAGCTCTCCGGCCGGCCGGCCGCCATCTCCGAGAGCTCGTCGCCAGATGTCAGCACCGTGGACGGCGCTCGGAGGCGCGAGCACGTCTCCCCGCTCAGGTTCGGACCGCTGTAACGCCCGCGCGTGTGACGCGTAATGCGCGTTGACGCCGTGGCGGACCGGCTTCTGGGACGGGGCTCGGAACACGTAGAGTTTGGTCAACGCTGGGTCGTGTAGCCGGCGAGATTTGGGCCGATTTTTCGCGGCGCCGTATTTACATCCCGATGTGGTATGGGACCGACTGGCGGCGTTTGCTCCTTAGGTGGAGCTGTAACCGTGTGCGCCCGCAGTGTGATGACGGGGCGGCGTGGGCCGCGTGTTGCGACTGTGACCGCGTACGCCCTGCGTTCGACGCGCGGCCGCGGGCTGTGACGGTGACTGTGCTCCGGTGCGGCCGACAGGCTGCAGCGCGCCCTGCAGCCGCTGGAGCAGCTGCAGCGCGACACCAACGCCGAGCTGGCAGCCGTGCGCCGCCAGCTGGAGCGACTGCAGCGTCGGCAGCCGGCCAGCGCCAGCTCCAGCCCCTGGCTGGTTGCTGGCGCTGGCGCTGCTCGTGCAGCTGGCCATCGGCTGGTGGCTGCGGCGCGACTGAGCGGCCCACTTCTCCGTCCTCGCGCCGGGGACGGCGGGACGTGCGCCATAGCTGGCGGACGCGCCGGGCTGCGGCTTCCGGCCGGAGCCGCCGGAGACATCTGGCGGCGCTGCAGCGAACTATGTCGGCCACTGCGGGGTGTCTGCCGCTGGGCCGGGACGGTTAGCTGACTTGTTCAGCACCGTCAGCCATTGGTCGACTCATGTTGCTCTTTAGTGATCTATTCAGTTATGTTTGAATTGTTAAGGTTTTAACGGCGTGTGAGACGTGTGCAATGTCTTCGGCGGCCCCCGTAGCCTCGATATTCTGCTGTGATTTGGGGCCGGTTTGATAGCTCTGGTGCTGGCGCGAGTTGTACGTGGCCATTGTGCGGTGTGTAGCCGGCGGCGGCGGCCGCGTTCTGCGCTGTGTCGCGTGGATATCCTCGGTAGGTTGAGCAGCTCTCTCGAGCCAGGTCAGGATTTGGTTAGCTCAGACCAGCCAACATGTGCCCAGTCCAATTCTCCTCTTATTACGAGCCGGCCCCTTGGGCCCGCCAGTCCCCATTCCCCTTATCAGGTCAGTGCTAGTGACATTCCTCTTCCGTCTGCGGCGCCGCGCGCGCGGCTGTGGTGACGGGCTGGGACCGCCGCTTGGTGGAGGCCCGCTCGTCGAATACAGGGTGAGAAACGAACGGCAGCGTTCTGATCAGGATTATCTGGAAACCGACCAGTTTCGAGTGAACAAGGTGGTCCCGTTCTTAAAAGTGTATTTGGAGCGTCTCGACACAATTACGCTATTCAAAAGCGTTCATAAAAACAAGTCACAGCCGTACAAAGACATTCGTCAACCGCACCTATTACTGGGCGCAATGGCACGCACATGACAGAAAGCGGCGCAAGCTGCTCCCTGCTGCCGGGCACATCCGATAACACGCACAAACAATCGTGTTCTTCAGATACAGCGTATCAATCTGACTCCGTTGCAGGGGAAATGCCCCGTCGCCGCGCGGAACGCGTCTATTTTCGTCGTCGTCGCGGCTTAACGACGTACTCAGTTGCTGAGGCTGTATGACGTCGTCTGTCGTACCCTGCAGGGAGGGCGGACACTGCGGGAATCGAACCATGTACCTTCGGCTTCCCAGACGCGCAGCTTAACCACTACCTGGGTACCCTGGGGCGTCACTCTCTGTCACGGGCCACCTGGTGACCGGGTCATCCGCCAGCAGCCAGTGGTCCGTGCTCGTGACCACCGCCTGCCTGCAGCGGTCCGCGCCTTTCTTCCATCCTCCAGTGGCGCCACCTGTGCAGCACCCAGCGCCGCTCCCAGCACCGCGGCGGCGGCGGCGGCAGCGGCGGAGGAGCAGGACATGTCCGGGGAGCGGGCGCACCGGCGCTAGATGTGGCGGCAGGCGGCGCCGCGGCATCGGATGGCGGCCGAAAGACGGCGGCGCCACCTGGCCTTCTCCGCCGCCGACATGGCCGACGCTAGGTTCACCAGCTGGTTCGGGTCAGCGGTCAAGTCGTACACCTCCCAGAACTCCTGAAACGGACACGGCCGCGTCCGGCACCTGAGGTCGGGTGTACGTCCGGTACACGGTGTCCGGTACCTGATCTGGGGTGCAATCCACAGTACAGGACAGCTAAGTGGCACGGAAAACGGCTCCCAAGCTCGAGGCCAGGTTCTGGGGCACTGTGCGTGCGTGTGTGAAGGGGGAGGGGCGACCACCTCCCAGCATTCTTGACAGGGGCGCGCGGCGCGCTGTGAGGTTTGCACACCGGGTGCACCGCCTCGTCGTTCCCAAAAACGACGAGGAGGATGATCAGCTGGTGGCAAGGCAGGCTTCAATATGACCAGTTCCCAACCGGACGCCGGCGTCTGAGCCCACAGGAAAGGGCGGGGGAGGACACATCTGTAGTAACGGAAGCGGGGCCGGGATGCGTTGCCGAGCACAGGCCACTCGCCCCCCGATAGGTCAAATGTTGTCCGGTCTTTATCAACGTGGGACAGTATGATGTGCTTTGCTGCCACGCATCCTGGGTAATTCATCGAGCAGTTGTATTGTACCTGTCAGGCTTCGGCATTCGACGGCAGGGGCGAACACCCCAGGTGCCCACAGGGAGCGGTGGTGCTCGGCACGTGGCGCTCACCCCATCGGGAAAAAAGCAGACGACGCGGTCTGCGTCCGCGGTCATCTCTCGGATGCAGCGGTACGTGTTGTCCCTGGAGTCCAGGCACTTGCACGCAAACCGCTCGTAACAGTGCTGGAAGTCGAGCAGGGTTCGTCAGCGACGGGCCAGGCCCAGACAGCTGCACCACATCAGACAAGCCAAGCTCCCTCCGCCCTCGCGACGCCGCGCCACAGCCCGTTCACAGCCTGTGGCCAATGGCGTGCCTGAGAGGTGAAAACAGCTTCCGATAAGAGCTTCCAGTGTCGTGGTGTCGTTTGACGGTACTACCCATCACTCTGCGTCACGCTGTCTCTGTGTTTGGAGTTCCTCGGCCGTGGGCCCGCCGACACATGAGGACACCGAGGGCGTCCGTCTGACCGCTCCAGCTCACCTCCGCGCCTGGCACGCCACCCAGACACCCCGCTCCAGCTCGCCTCCACGCCTGGCACACCACCCAGCCACCCCGCTCCAGCTCACCTCCGCGCCTGACACGCCACCCCGACACCCCGCTCTAGCTCGCCTCTGCGTCACCCGGACACCCCGCTCCAGCTCGCCCCCGCGCCTGACATGCCACCCGGACACCCGGCCCACGACCAGTCCATAGCGTGCCCGTGCCGAGCCCGGACTCCGACCCTGCCGTACCGAGACGTTGCGGCCGCGGAAGGCGCAGGTCGGCGCCACGGCCTTGTTGTACTCGCCGCTGTAGCTGACCAGCAGGGCGGAGCGGCGACTGGGCGGCGCGGCGCCGTCCGCCGGTCGGGACGCCACTGGCTCGGCCGCCAGCGTCTGTCGGCCGGACTACCGTGAGCGAGCGCCGCCGACACATGGACAGCGCGTGGGCTGCGGAGACGTGCGGTCGCTCGACTCCGAGTCCTGTACCGATGGAATCACGGCTAGATGCGACTGGGCGGACTGTGTCACGTGGACCACAGAGGACAGGTAGGACACGCGCCTCACGTCTGGCATAATCCGCACGGGCAACTGTCTCCCTCGGCCGCCGAGGTCGACCGGGGTGCTCACCTGCAGCAGGGAGACGCCGTCCATGTTGGGCTCTGGCTTCAGGCCGGCCAGCTCCAGCACGGTCGGCGCCAGGTCGACCATGCTCACCGGAGCCAGCACGGTGCGGCCAGCCGGCAGCCGGGGGCCGCGCACGTACAGCGGCACGCGCAGGTCAAACTCGTACGGCTGTCGCTTGTCCACCGTCAGCGAGAACTGGCCTGCGGCGGCGCGGGCGTTAGCGTTAGCGGAGACAGCGGAGGCCGGCACCACAGCCATGAGGTTCGGCGCACGGCTCCAGCGGTCCTCCCAATCAGCAAGAGTCACTCCCAGCCGACCAGGGACAGCGACAGTCGGAGACACAAACCAGGGACGGCCGCCTACAACACTAACCGGGCTGGGCGCTTCTCACGCGAAACGGCACACTTGCCCCGTATCCGAACAGCACAAGATTTGCGGCTTCGCACCCAAGCGGTCCGGCACATGGCCCCGCGTACTCCGGTGCGTGTGGATATCGCCCCGTCCCCAGGATGCGTGGGACGCGCTGCCGCACGCCCCGGCGGTGGAGTGCCATCCTGCATCCAGGCGGGGCGGGTGGGTGTTGCTGGCGTACCCAGGTGGAAGCCGTGGTCGGAGGTGAACAACAGGTGGGTGTTGTCCAGCAGCCGGAGCCGGCGCAGCTCTTGCACCAGAGCCGACACCATCTCGTCCACAGAGACCAGCGTGCGCCACCGGTTCCGGAACACGTCATCCAGCTCGGCCAGCAGCGGCGGCGGCAGCGGCGCCGGCAGCTCGGCCAGCAGCTGGTGCTTGTCCTGTCGGCCGTGTCACAGACTAACGCGGCTGAATGTGTCACACTGTCCGCACTGGGCGCCTGGCAGACACAGGAACTGGCTGTGGAACTGAGATAAATCGAGCTTCGGACTGACTCGGGCCCGGTGCGCGGCTT